CCTTCGAAGACCAGCAATTCCTGCCACCTCTCCCTTCCAGCAAGCTGTAGGAGCTCCTTGCCACGCTTTGGGGAGTTGAGCGACCACTCCTCCCCAAACAAACATGATACCTATGCCGCTGCGAAGTTGAAGAACATCTTCAGAAACTCCATTTTTTTAGTCGCTACCAAGTCACATTCATTTAAGACCAAAACCAGGTACACTCACTCTACATGGCCACCCCCTCGCTGTATCCTCTACCTGGAGCGAGCCGCTAGACATGTCACAAAGCTGTCGCGCGACCGCGCGGTCGACTGGGAATTCCATCGCGTCTCGAGGTCAGACCTCGGTCTCGGGGCGGTTCCAAGAGCAGTTGAGCGGCGGCTGAAGCAGAACTGCGGACGACGGCGGGCAAGAGGGAGGGCGAGGGAGCGGGTCCTTGAGAGGGGTGCCAAGAGGTTTTCGGGCATGTCGTGAATCCAGGAAATTAGATCCATTCTGTTCTGTAGTGACCCCCAAATAGATCGAAATGGTTTGGGATCTTCCCATTCAGTTCAAACATGTGGGGCATGAGCACTGGTTCTTCCGTATGATGGTTGATCCATCCACAGACCTTTCAATGGATCGTTTTGGAGCTTGGAGTCAACATGGCTTTTTCTGCTGCGATTTGGGCGTCAGAAGTTCACTTTTTGCCTCGTGTGAAAGCTTGGGTAACTGGCAAGATCAAGTGGTTGAGGTTCAAAAGTCTTTATTCTGCTGGTGCCGATGCAGAGAACATCAACAAACCACTGTAACAACCACAAGATGGGTCTTTGAGATCGATAGTTGGGTGGCCACATTGCTCAGCTGCGAGTTTTTTTGGGGCCGTGACCAACCTCCTGACGCGACAGCCGCAATCTCTTGGGGACCGTGCCTTTGCATGCGCGTCCCCACCCATTTTTGGACCAGTCGGCTGGGAAGAAGACACACCCTGGCGGGCTCCGGCTTGGAGCTGAGGGGAGTGCGTGCGTTTTGGGAGTAGATACTGTAATTCCATCAAGCATTTCTCAAGATAGCAAGCAGCGTAAAGATGTATCAGGGGGTGCATGGACATTTACTGGGCTTGTCTGAGTGTGCTGTTGGGTCCCAAGTAATGGTTCAAGGGTTTTCTTTGACACCATTTTATGAGAGAAGATCAATTGCCCTGCCAACAGCACGAGTCGGCCCACGTCCCGATCGCTGACTTGGTCTCCCCTCCGAGTCGGAGGGCTTTTAGTGAAGACAGGCTGCAGAAGACAGCAGAGGGCAGGTAGCTCTGAAAGGATTGCGGCATCCAAGGAAGGAATCGGCTGTGTTCGATGCCGGGCCCCAATTTTGGGCACAAGTTACAATGTCCAGAGAGTGTACGCAGTGTACAACGTCCAGAGTGCACGATTTCCCTCGAAGATTCACACCTGTCCTCCCATCTCCATGCCTGTGTCAGCAACAACAGGCGTTCTTTTCAACGTCGGCTTCCCAGTTTGGTGATCAGAGGTATCTTCAAAAAGCACTTAACACCGGGCCTAACCCATGAATACTTGCTTCGTGTCAAATGACACGCCTCTCGCTCTTCTTCACCTCTGGGGGTTTGCGCACTCATTGGCCGAATTCGCCCCATGTTTTCTGGCGTCCCGACCCCAGCTCTTGAGAAAGGATGTCAGATGTTCCGAAGAATACCACCGAGCTGGGCTCCATGTGTTTTGGTCTTTTGGGCGAGACATGAACAACTCGTCTTGCTCTCAGCTTAGGACCATGTACAAATAGGTACCAATTTCATGTGTGTTTGGTATCTGGTTCAGTTTTGCTTCCAGGCACCAAGAAGCATCAGCTGTAACTACCGCCTGCAGTGAGTCCTGAGTCTTGAGTCCGAGCAGTTCGCAGTTCGCAGTCTTTCAGAGCTCCAGTGCTTCGGGGCTGTTGGAAGACGCAGTTTCCCGAGGATGGATGATCTCGAGTTAAAAAGCCAACAGGGGGGTTGAAGAACCCTATAGTCTATCTGATAGGGACATACTGGTACCTCATGGTGACGGGTCCTATTTCAGGTCACTTACAGTAACCTCTCTCGGGGTGTGGAAGGTGACAGAGAGCTGGTACAGGATAGGGCAAAGAGGAAAGCTGCTAGGCAATCCGTGGGGAGCACGGCGAAAACACCATTGACAGGCACGCATCATCGATGATTTATACTGTTGGTCCGCAGCAAGCGGTTCCCCCAAGGGACGTGTTTCAAGATCATCCGCGCGCGCTCTGGATACAGACAGCCGATGTCAAAAATGCTCTTGAGCTTCGATTTGTTATTGAGCTGTTAGGCCTGACAGGGATGTTGCTTTGATGTGTAGGGATTGAATTTGGATTTCCACACCTTGTTGTGCTACCGTTCCCACACCGCACTGTTTGTTTGTGCATCGGCTCCCAAACCTTCCCAACAAATGCTATATTATATACTATATACTGTGGTCCGTGTAGAAGACCAGACCACTTTTGTCATATGCTGCGTGGCGTCCCAACAAATGCTCTACTGACAGGGAATGATGGCCAATTCCAGGAGAACGGGGTTCCAAAACGAGCACGGCCTCTTCGCAGAGAATTGCGGAGCACAGCCAGCTTGGGCTGACACATGCTGCAAGTTTTACCGGGCGTCTTCAGCTTTTCTGTGGTTGAAGAGATCCAGGTCTTCCCAGATTCTTTGGGCTAAGACTCAGAGCGAATTTTGGGGCGTTTCTGATCTGATCTGACCCGCCTTACGTGACCAGTTACGTCTCAGGTACCCGCAGGGTGGCGGTCAATACATCGCACCAGGGTGAGCCGGGATGTGAAGCGGCCATCGGCCGTGCGTTTCAGAGTCAGAGGAGGTCAGAGGCTGCTGGTCAAACGCCTGCTGTGTCAGAAATTTCTTTCATTGGATGGACTACCTACCTGTGAAGTTGAAGTACTTATAGATTTGACATCGTTTTTGACACTGGAGCATAGCTGGGAATTGGAATCTGTGAAACCCTATCACTTCTACTGTTTTTTGCCGCATCGCCGGCCTTGTGGCACCTTCTAAACTCTGAAGACTTCCATAAATTCACGTCAAGCAGCCTCCTGCCGCCAATGGAGGTACAGCAACCAGGCCTACCCGGTGTTCCAGGGCGGTCACGAGCCCAGGCCCCTCAGTCGGACATGGTTCACCAGGACAGTCACCACGGAAAAAGAAGACGAAAATCGCCTCGAGAGGAAAAGGCCTTGTGGCCATCTGGCCATGTTCACAGAGGGAGGAGTAGGTTTTCGGTGGTTTGGGCATTCTCTTTGGTGGGCTCCCGGTTCGAAGACACATGTGTCCATGATTGCCTGGGAGGGACAGAGTCGGGTTCAGTCGCTGTTGCCACCATTTTATACTTCCAGCTCTATACATAGTGGTGGCGAGTCCAAGCAGAAGACCTAACGGCGGAACCGCCTAGACACCCAGCCAGTGCTGATGGAGACCGCCAGGTTCCCGGGTGGCACGGGTTACGCCACTCCGTGCCTCGGATTGAAGAACTTGACTGTCAAGTTAGATAGCCATTTCGCAAGTCTCTGCTTTGCATGCAACGTGTTCCATTTTGTTATTTTTTGACTTGAGCTTCCAAGATCAGCAAGACTCTTGCAGTGTTTTCTTCACCCTGACACTGGCCTCACATCTTTTGTTTGATATATGATATGTGGATATATGTGGATTATTGTTGGTTTTTCTTTGCTTACCACACGAGTCGGAGTCCATCAACCCCCTTGTCCCCATCACAAGTCCAGTCATTTTCGGTGGGTGGCTTCAGGTTCACCAACGCTGTGCAGCGCTCGGGGTCCAATCCCGTCCGGGCGACCCGGTAAAAAACGGGACGTGCGACCCAGCGGCCAGCGGCTATGGTGAGCGGCGACCACGCGCGGGTCAAGCGGAGCGGCTCAGGAACTGGCGGGTGATTATCAAGAGCTCTTCAAGTTCATCATCATTGGAGATGAGGCTGCACAACTGGATGTTGGGCGTTTTACAGGAATGTAGGTCTCAGCAGCCCACCATTTGTTTGGGGTTTAGACGCCTTCAAGAGGAGAAACACATATCAAGGATTCTCACCTATCTCACCCTACGTTCCGCTCCTTCTTTGCTTCGCGTGTTTTCGATCCGCACCGGGTGCAGACCAGGCTGTTGGCAAGACCTGCTTGTTGCTGCAGTTCACAGACAAGAGGCAAGGACGCAATGACTTGTACAAGTCTGACAGTCAGGAGCAGCAATCGGAAGATCTTTCATCACCTGAGGTCCTGGTGTTGAGTGGTGTTGAGTGGTGCTTGGTCCAATTGAAGCCTTCAAAGTCACATGCGCAGCTCTTCAGCTGGTCAGTTCTGGGCTTTCCACGCTCGTGCCAGGTATCGCACAACCCATCAGGCCGTTCGACGCGGTGTGTGGCGGAGGATGGTCAGACCCGTTCGGAACGGCTGACGTTGGGGAGAGGTAAACAAGAGAAGTTTCTGCCATTGGGGTGGCCGGGCTGCTAGTTTGTCAACCGCAGAAGGCGAATGGCACAGACGCTTTTGCAAGATAGACACAATGCACCACAGACGAATTGCCCAGCGAAGACGAAGACGAATTCCCCACCGCAGACAAATTACCCAGAGAAGACGAATTCCGCAGACGTCTATTCAATCAGGCCTACCAAGATTAAAGAGTTTCTCACAAAGGATTTTGAAGTCAAAATGGCTCTGAGTAAGCATTGCTGAGTCTCAATTGCTTTCAACGGTGAGTTATATACAGCGCTATCAGGCCCAGTAAGTAAGGAACTAGTCTTCGCTTAGGTGAAGCAACCCTTAGCTTTCAATTATCCATCTCACAACCCTTCGCCCCCTATCGGGCCGTGATACTCACGGCCGCTCGAGGTCGCCCGGTAGAAAGAGACGCGGGCGTGTATGTGTGCACGGTGTTCCACCGCCATACCCATCAGGTGGAGATTTACTCCCTGACTCTGTGCTCTCTTCTGATGATTCTTCGTCGTCTTCCTTCTCTGAGCTGTTCTCTGTGTCTTCCCCCCCGGAGACCAGCCACATGAAACCAAGTTCTGTGCAGCTGTGCCGCCCTTTTCAGGGTCCAGTGAACAGGGATAAGCCGGACTTTAAGTTAGCTGGAGGGGAACGGAAGGACATGTGAGTTTCGAACATCCTAAAGGTGGTATTTTGATGTACAGTATATTGGGGCTCTCTGGGCAAATGACCCTCATTTGCGTACACATTCGTGTGTCAAGAATTCTTGCTCCATAGAACCGGAACTTGTGCCATTGAGTCTAGGCGCAAAAGGCAGACACTGCAAGAAGATTGCTTGTGATACGATGGACAATGGTCCTTGGATGACTTGCAGTTTGTCCTTGGATGACTCCCTTTGGTGACTTCAGTGTATGATGAATGCACGGCACATCACGGCACAATGGGCCATGGAAGCCAGAACAATCCCAAACACAAATAGGCTTGGTAAACCCTGTCCAGGTCGCATGTTCCCGCGGATATGTACCATACACACATCAACTCTCGCCTGCTTGTGTCCTCTTCTTGTCCTGCGCTTGCAGTTGTTCCGCTGTTGTCCTCTGGCCGCGCTGGCCAACGCTCCTGGTGTCCTCCTCTTGTCCTCCTGGCAAGCCTGGTCCTCCTTTTGTCCTCCTGGTTTCCTTCCTCCATTTGTCCTGCTGGTGTCCTCTTCTTGTCCTCCGGGTGTCCTCATCTTGTCCTCAAGCCTTGTCCTCCTGCTGTTCTTTGGCCGCGCTGGCAAGCCCTGTGTCCGCTGCTTGGCCACGCCGATCATGGACCAATTCCGCGCAGATTGAGGACATTCTGGGATTGCGGACCCAAAATCTTGAACGTTGAAAAACGAAGGGAAACAAGTAAAACTCCTGGTGTTCTTTACGCTCAATGTTTTGGTTTCTCTAGTGGACATGCACGGTGTTTGTTGCGTCTTAAGACCATGTGTCAATGATCCCAAGTGAGCCAGGCTCATCGATCATCCATAATTTAAACCGCCGTTGGTTAATCCCCCATCAATCCAGATGTTCATAGTCGGCAACTTGGGTCCAGGGCAATGGTATGAAACCGAGGTGGGTGGAGGAGTTTGACAGAATGTCCCGTCAGTGCCCAATATCTGTCGTCAGCGAATCTGTCGTCAGAATGTGTCGTTAGCGTCCGTACCTCATTTGTCGTCAAGGAACCTGTCAGCGTGTTGGTGTCATCAGATCCTCGTCAGAGTGCCGCGGAACTGGTCAGACGACCTGTTTCGTCAGCGTCTTTACGTCATCAGTCCCTAATCTTTCGCCATAGAATCAGTCGTCAAATCTGTCGTGGCCAGTCCAACTATTGGACAATGTGTCGTCAGCGTCCTATCACACCCCCGTGAGCGACCACTCTGGCAGCTACAACATGTGGGCAACTGCAATTTGTGTGTGATTGAGATTCGGATAGGTGTGGGGGTTCCGGAAGTCTTTGGAGGTCAGCAGAGGAGCGCAAGGTGCTGTGAGCACTGCATCACAAACTAGATGCAGGAGGTGGAACATAGCCCTCATGCACACTGTGGCAGCTCAGTAGCGGCACCCAGCAAAAGATGCACAGCTTATACATGAGGACATGCACAAGGTGGTTGGACAACATTTCGGGGTCATGAATGAGGGTTGAACAAGCATCCGTTTGCAAACTATTCTTTGATGTTCACTTGTCACTTGGACTATATAAATAGGACTTGCCGCCTTAGGCTTGAAAACCAAGTCGCTGGTGCCACTCGTCATTTGCTGTTGCTGCTGCAGTTCGCTGCAGTTCTGGTTCGAAAGATGATCAAACAACCGGTCGATGATGTGGATACCAAGTCGCCTCAGGCCGGTTGCAGGTTTTGCTTGGAAGAAGAACCTGGATGGTTTCAATCCGGAGGTGTCTCACAAAGACACATGTAGTCTCCATGGTGTGCCTCCTCTCCCTTCCCCTTCTTTCCTGAGATTGTCAGCAGAAAACCATCTCTGGCCATGGCTTACCCCGCGACCCACCCGCAGACGGCGGGCGGCCTCAGTGCAAGTGGTTTCCGTCAGCTGCCAACGTCAGATCTCGACCTTGTGACCCGTTGCCGTCGCACCCGTTCCCCCCAGAACAGGTCCAAGTAAAATTTAAGTCTGACTTCTTCGCCCGGGACTTCGCGCTGACTGTACTCCACGGGACCAGCAATGCTCGTTTTGTTCCCGAAAAAAGAAGAGCCGTGGCGCTTTGGAGAAGGCTCCGCTTCCCTCGCCCCCACGTCTTCGGCCCGCTTCGGACCCGAAGACGGACGACCTCACCCACCGAGGCCAAGGTGGGCGGCCACGAGGAGGCCGAAGCGCACCTGGGACGACTCCACGAAGCGCCCCTCGGTGACGGAAGGGGCGGACGGAAGGGGCGGAGGAAGGGTTTTTTTGGAGTTGGTAGGACGGAACCTGGTGGTTGACCCCTGAAACATCCTGAAAAGGAAGGTGCATCTGGAGCAAGTGGAGTAAGACTTTTGAGAATCTGGACATTTTGTGTTTGGTCTTTGCAAAGTAATTAGCGCACTCGTTGTTCCCGAGTATTTTGCGATATAATGCGATATATATATATATACACATACACACACACACATACATATCAAGGTCAAGGTTTATCACCGAAAGGAGACATCTCACTCGTGGCTTGCAAATCAAGTTCGATCTTGAATGGGACCGCGCAGAATTCAGACTTCCAAAACAAGTGCCAGGCCGGCCCAAGAACTAGGGTTTCTTTTTCGTCATTCATTTGGAAGTCCTATAGGTCTAGAATTTGTTCATCAGACTTGGACTTGGATCAATCATCTCCTAACCTGTGGTAAGCAGCCGCCCTGCCACCTCGTTCCGAGCGACGCCCCTGGTCGTTCAGAGGAAGAGAAAAGACCCTGCGGTCGGTCCCGGAGGTGACGAAAAAAGACACCTTCAAACCAAAGGATCCGAGGTTGTTATCGAGGTTTGGAGTTCTGTTGTAATGCTCCTAGATTCATTTTCTCAAGCAGGAATTGTCTGGAGTCTCACCTTGGATGGAGTGGAATTTCAGGTCCTTCCATCCCTGGAATCTCGTGGCATCTTTGACAACTCGCGAACCGCGGTCCGTGTCCACGGTCGCGTGGCTGCGACCCCAAACTGGCCGAAGCAAACCGTCGTCCCAACCCACCGAGGAGCACCACCTTCCTGCTCTGCGATGTGCAAGAGAAGTTCCGGCCCGTGATCGATCAAATGCCACTCGAAACCGTTCAAAAACAGCCGCAAAAACGAAGGAGACGAGGAAACGGAGTGGGGTGGTGAGACATCAGCATCCCATCAGCATCGAGGCTATTTCTCAGGGCTCCGAAAAAGGCTCCGAACACGCCCAGGGCGGCTGGTTTTCGGTGCGGGGCCGTTCCCGGCTCAACTGGCTGCGCTGAGGTCTCAGGTGATTTTGGCCTCCAAGGCGATGCTGGAGGCTGCGAAGGTCATGTCCATTCCGGTGATCGTCACGGAGAGACCGGGGAGAGCGGGGAATGGAAGGCATTGCGGCAAGGAGACCAGCGTGGTTTTAAGGGTTTGCAGTGGGGGAGGCTGAAACACATTTGCTACATGGACCAGGGGAAGGAAAAGACCAGTGAGACATTATGTTCCCCTGAATCCTCAAGTCGAAAATCAACCAGAGCCAGAGGCTAAGCGCTCGCACGCTTACAGTGGATCAAAGCTCTGAGATTGGGTGTGATATGTCTTCTATGAAGAAGCTTTCGATGAAGAAGCCACCACGAGCATACACCTGGGAGTAACATGGAGCCTGAGAATGGCTACAACCCAGTCGTTTTCAGGTTCCATGCGAGTCTCTTCCGGGGTGTCAGATATCAACATATCGAGGAGCCCTGCAGGTCCACCTGGGTGCTTCATGTTGGGCAAAGGCGCGGACTCGAACATCAAAACGTATTGTTTGTTTGTGCCTTTGAAGGCCAACCAGAAACGGATCCGCATTGCTCCTGTGGGGGGGGGGGGGCAGACCTGGTGGTCGGAATGAATGTGAGATGTCCTTCGCCATCGCTGGTGAGGAAGAAGCCTACACAGCAACCTTCTCGCACATTCCTTGGGGTGGCCAGGAGCAGTATCCCAAAGCTCTTGGCCACACAGTGGAGGAGCTTGACATTTCTCAGGTGAGCTGTGGTGTCTTACCGCAAGTTCCACCCAAAGCACAACCTTCAGTCACTCCCGCAAGAGCAAGTTTGTGTCAGATGGACCCAGCAAACTCACTTCCATGAATGCACAAGACTTGAGCGGGATCAGAAGCAGCATACAGTTTTGTAGTTTTGCCCATCTTTTTTGGTGTATCATTCTAAGAACTTGGCAAACACACCAGTGTATCATACACCCAGAAATCAGTCCTGGACTCAGCAGTGTATCATTGCGCCAAACAAACGAAACAGAAAACGCTCCAAAACGGTCCTCGTCTTCGCGCCCCCACACCGGCCGTGCAGGCCAAAGTCTTTGAGCCTCTTGGCCTGAACATGGGGGAGCCGGATCGGTTTGATCGGTTCATGTTCCGAGGAGTAGCGGAGTAGCGGATCGGTTGCCCATGGCAATTTGTGGCAAAGCACTTTCTTACTTATGCCTTCTCTTTGATTCTCTTTGTACAAAGCGCAAATTTGAACCTACTTGAAACATATTTGAGTTGTTTTGGACCTACTTTCAGTGACATGTCATATACGTATCTCTTACATTCTGATGCGATGTTTTTTTCTAGTTGCTTTCATGCTGTTGGCATGAAAATACAGATTCGAAAAAGAACGAACTTCGTCTTCGGGGTTGGGCCGCTCGCTTCGGCCCCCAGCGGACGAATTTCTGATCTTAGGAAGACCAACTTTTCCATGTGCACGCACGAGTTTTTGCAGTACTTCGTTGGGCTCCAACGGAAGGCGCGCTCGGCGCGCGTGCGCGCCGACAAGCTGGGGTTTGGGCGCCCGCCCGTGGGTTTGGGCGGTGTGAGCTGGAGAGTGACGGTGGGAGCTGGAGAAAGAACGTCGGTGGTTGACGTTTTTGTACTCTTTCCATTTTCTGCCTTCCACTGGTGTAGACTCTCCAGTGGAAGGGCGAACAAACTTGCTTCCGGCCAGATGGTAGATGGCTGGGTGGGCTCGTGTTAGGGAGAGGCAGAGGTGTGAGAAGGTGGCTTGCAGGAGTGTCCAACAGTTGAGAAGCACCCAAGTAGTGCTGTTAAGTGGAGACACGAGGAGACCAAACCCGTAGATTCGCAATACAAATCAAGCCGGTTCGTCCTAAAAGACCTCCCCCGGTTCGCGCCAAGTCGGCTTTGGTCTTTTGGCTTTGATGGGGGAATGAAGGAAAAACCCACCGGGTCTGGACTTTCGGCCACGCGGCGAGGATGTGGTGATCTTCGGCGTGGAGACCCACGTCTGTGTGCAGCAGACGGCCTTGGATCTCACGAGCCGAGGCATCCAGGTGCGCCCGCGACGGAGAGACGCGACGGGGCGCGACGGAGAACGGCGACGGAGCTCCACGGTGTTTTTTTGGGGGGCACGGGTGTGGAGTCGAGAAAAGACATAGAACACGTTTTCGTGATTCAGATTTGATCGACCAGATCAGGTTTGAAGGAGTTTGGATCATGAAGTTTGGATCATTAGTGTCCATTTGTTTGCTACAATCCACTGGTCTTGGATCGGGACACTAACTCCTTTAGCTTGAACATCCAACTGCAGGCCACGAACCTTTGGAATACCCCCAAATCAAGCTCCTCTTCCTTGCGACTGCTCCCACCTGGCCACACTCTCCACCAGCTCCTCTTCCCGCCACGCTCCGGGTCCACGCCGGGTCCACGACAGGTGCACGTGATCGCCGATGGCTGCTCCTCGCAGCGCACCTTGGATCGCCAGGTGGCCTTCGACCGGCTGCGCCAGGCGGAGACACAACGACGCGGGTTTTGGTTGGGCGCGCGAGGAACCAAGGGGGGGTGGCAGATGTGGTGTGTCCAGTAGTGAGGGTTTAGAGGCGTTGGACGTTGAAGGAGTTGGGTGAAAGACTTAGGTGACCCATTTGTAGAACTTGTTCAATGTTAAAGAAGGCAGGCCTTGGTCCCTGGTGGGTAGCCCATGCACACAGATGCCCAGAATGCTGTGAGCCAACGCACAATGCATTGGACACTGTGTAGAAAATTCGTTGACGTGCGTCAACTGCTATTCTATCCAAGATGGAGCAACCACGAGTCAGGCTGGATGCTACGTGACCACTATGGAATCGGTGCTTTTTGAGCTGCTTCGAAGCAAAGATGCGCCGCTTGGCTGAAGAGATGCGTGGTCGTGTGATGGCTGGGTAAGGAAGTCCTGATGAGAGTCCGGTGATTCCTGTTTAGTCTAGCAACAGTGTGCTCCATGTTTGGGTCCGCCGATTGCATACAGGAGGCGCGTAGCGTTTTTTAGATGTCTGACAAGATTGATACTATCGGAGTCACATGAAGTTGGGTGGTGGTGTGAAACGTCCCATCCAGTGAGATGTGACATGTTCTGGGCACCCCGTCTTCCTCCATGGATCGCACCCCTAACCTTTGTGACCAGCAGTCGTACAGCGACCTCTTCCTGCCACGTCGGTCCACGATGAGAGTCGAGACAGCGGCAGCTTTCGGGCACCGGGTGACTCGTCTCCTTGTTGTGGAACGAGACGTGGGCACCCTGTAAAATCCTTCGTTCGTCGCGAACCAAACATCTCAAAACCTTTGCATCTCAGCAACGAACGGAAGAAGCACCAAGGCCAGAGTTCAAAGCCATCTCTGGGATCGTGAAGGCGTATGGCGAGAGTCTGAAAAAGCTCGTCCATGAGGCGCGGACCGCGCGGGGCCCTGCACTCTCTGGGTGCGCCAAAAGCGCCCTGCGGGCTGGTCCTCCCTGGCCCTTCCTGGTATGCCAAAGCCGAAGTCATTTTCGATCCAGTCCATTAGAGCCAGTCCATTAGACTCCGAGATCCTTCGTCTCTGGCCCATGTTTTTTCTTTCGAACCTTTCATCAGTGCCAGTTTAGGGGGATGGCCCAGTCCCGCTTGGCAGCAATGGTTCAACCTGGCCCCACCTGGCCGAATGCCAAGGACTCCGGTCAACCTAGGTCGACGTTGCTTTGGGGGACGACCCTCACCGGTTGAAAAGGCAACCCCCTTGGGCAACTCGGAATCCCCCCCCGTGTCTCCTTGGTGCACCGACTCGGTTGTTTGAAGCTTCCCGGTACGAACCGCCTCATCCCGGTCCCGCCTCATCGGAGGCGGTGCTTTGAGTGGAGCTCAGCGCATCACTTTGGGAGAAAGCGGAGCGGCGCTGCGTGCTTTCTGCGTGCATTTTTGCGGTCAACGATGGTCCAAGGATTCTTTTGGAACCGGTAGTGGGTGGAATTCAGAAAGACCTTGTGTTGCAGATTCGCGAAAACTGACAGGGGGCAGCAGGGAGGAACGTGTTGAAGATTCATTCACGGGATGCTAAATGCAATGTTAGTTAGCACATGAGTTCTTCAGGTGGTCTCCTTTCATCTCCTTTCTTCAAAGACCTTCAGAGTATACTTCCTAGTCTTAGTACTTCATCTTCTTTTTTGGGATAGTTCGAGCATGTTCGAAGACCCCGAAAAGCCGGCCCCTTCACGTCCGGATGCAGCGCAGGTGACCGTTGGTGTGGAGTTTGGCTCCCGCACGGTCGAGGTGGCGGGGTCCGGAGGCCCATATTTTCGGTGTGTAAGATGAGAGGTTTTGCTGAGGTGGCTTTTGTGAGGGCTCCTTTCTGTTCTTTAGATGGTGTTTGGTGGGAGAGGTCCGACATCATTTTGATGTCCCCTCCAAAGTGATCTGGAACGAAGGGTTTATGGCCAATGACCGTGATTCTTCTGCTACGAGCCCCACTCCCTAAAGCCATCATGACCGTGATTATCATGACCCGTTGGATGACTTTTCCAGGGGCTTTCCATTTCCATGATTCTTTCAGGGAAGGAGGGTGGATTCTGCTCCTCCCAGGTGCCGCGTCAAGCTGCAATGCTGGGATACAGCCGGCCAGGAGCGAGCGGAGATGAGAGACTGAGACTCACGTGGAACGGGATGTTTGGAGCTGCTCTATACGGCGCCGCTGCGTGCAGTCAACGCATATATGTGTTTAAACCTTCTCTGCTACGTGCATAGAAAGCTTCATTCAGCCGGATCCTCACCATTTAACCTCGCAATGGTAGAATCCTCAAAGACACCTAAGTGCAGACTATATTTTCCACCCGACGTGGCAATCACCTAGTTATTTTACCTAATTTTCTAGGTGCCTCGTTAGTACCCCGGAAAGTATATATTATGCTCTATTATGTAACAAACCCATGAATCAAGGGAATCAAGCGATTGGGTGTCCCGTATTGTATTGTTTGTACCACTCTTGAGTTTGCCTTTTTTTGCAAGTGTTCCACACACCAAGATGCGGTCGTTGACTCGGTGTGTGCGGGCCGCGTGTTCGACGGGGGGGGGCCGCCTGTTCGTCCAATCCTCCGCACGAGGACCGCTTTCGGTCCATCATCCGCAGCTACTATCGCGGTGCGGCTGGAATGCTCCTGGTGCCACTGGCTGGTCGTTGCCGATGCACGGACGAGCCCCAGTTTCCCAGTGGACCATGACACTGGCCAGGCCAAAAGAATGGATCGCAAGTTGAGTTAGATAGGTGTAAGATATCCAACAAAAAGGGAAGTGTCCACGCATACAGGGATGACACTTTATACAGTCTAAGTATATCCGCAAGCTCTCGCTGTTGGGTGTACGAAAGCCATTGGGCCCTCTCTGAGAGCCTTCAAAGACACATGTCCAGAGACTCCCGTTGATGAAACTCTTCTCTTTCTGTTTCTTCGGTTTGTTTGCGGCTTGAAGTGTAGCAAGGTAGAACCCGTGGGTGGATGGAAGATGTTTCCTAAAGCAAAGCTGAAGGTGAGAGACAACATTTACATCAGATGCAGTCTTGGTTCCACGACCATGCGGCCATCTGGTTCCACGACAAGGCGGTTGGGACATCGGACATCTCTTGCGGCGCCAGGTCTACGACATTAGTCAGTGCTGTCCTCAGTGGTCTACGACTGAAGGATCCCGAAGAATGAAAGCCCGTTTCAGCAGCTGCACATCTGGGACGGGATGTTTTTCTTGAGGTTCTCATGTGCAAGTCAACATGCCAAAAGCATCTTCAGCAGTTTCCTTCAGACTCTTCCAATCCAAAAACTGATCATATATATAGCTCAAGTCTCCTAGATGTTCAGCTGGGAACATGCCAGTCATGGCTAACATTTTTTTCACTCACATGGTCTCTCCTGGTGGCTCTGCCTCCGGTGCTTTGGCTCGAGCGAACCGATCCGCCGGTCCGATTCCCGGCGCCGGCGATGGGAGTGTGCCTTGGCAGTGGGGAGCGGACGGAGTGAGTCACGAGACGCAGAGAGGAAGCAGAGAGGATCAGTGACTATAAGACTTGAAGAGATGCTACTTTGGAGATTTTTTAGTGCAGTTTTTACGATGTACTTGAGGCTCACTGATACTTGTATCTTGGCCATTCGTTCGTTTAGAGAATTGGTTTGTGGATGATGAGATGGTATGGGGCACGGCTGGATGAGCCTGAAGCTGGATGAGGAATTGGCATTTGGTTGAACTGTTGAGACCTTTTCTTTTACATCCTGGTGCTGCCTGCTGATGGAATCAGGGGCGATGACGACACGGGGGCCGTCTCGCTGCAGCGCTTGCGCGAGACGCCACCGTGGCTCGGCTGGGAGGTCTGGGAGGGGGGTCGCGGGTCGTGGTTGGGTTGCTGGGGACCTGCTGTGAATGGGTTGGGATGCCCAGGGAATTCCGGGAGATCAAGAGAATGTGATTTGAAGATGCCAACGAAGCTTCGGGTTGGTGTGGAAGGTTCACCGAACATCCGACGTATTCTTCTGATGTTTTTCTTGGAATTAACAAGAAGAAGTTGTGTGTTTTCTCGTACAAGGACAGACGTACTCCCCCGCCGCCTCACCGCACCCACCGAGGCCCGGCGTGCCGAACTTCCAGGGCGGCCAGGCCGGAGGGGGACACCGGTCTGTGCTGGTCTCCGGTGTCGGGTGCGGTGAGCCCCTTGGGCCCCGCGGGCTGCGAGACATGACCTTCCGTTTTTTGGACATGGAAAAGCTATACTGACTTTGTACGAAAGAGCGTTAAACTCAGAGACGCGGCAGGGGCGAGACGCGGAGCAAGTTGCGTGGACAGGAGAGAGTGATATTTTTGGTGGATGGTGGCGGTGGCCCAAAATAGAGGTCAAACAGGGTCTAGGTACATGCAGAGGCTCTTTTTGAGGGTTTTTCCACCTGGTCGAGGCGACTGGAGATGATGAGTCCCTAAGCGATAAATCCTTTCCATTGAATGTGCTGATGACAAAGGATTCATGGGATACCTGAGTGACCGATGGGGTTTCTGGACCATCCGGCCCCACAAACCCTCAAAACCAACTTTTTTTCCCCAGCAAAGAGCACGTGTTTTTGTGGGTGAACAACTATATTTTTCATGGGTTTCTGGGCGAATCCCGTACCGATATATGCTGCCAAGGAGTCAGTAGACCGGGGATCTGGTGCGCGCGAAGACTTGGCCACGACGTCACACGAGGATGAGTCGCTCATGGATAGAAGTAGATGCACTCTGGATGAGCCAGTCTCCGAGCGACTTGGCCGTGCACTGAGGGGGTTGAGATGTGCCCTCGTTTCCTTTTGGATGACTCGAGTGGATGGACTTCCCTGATGGACTTGCCTTGGAGCCTTGGAGGGAACTGAACAACTTTTGAGAAAGTCACACAACATCACCTACCAACCAATTACCCAGTGTTCAGGACTGTTTGTTCAAAGAAAAGACTGGAAAGGAACACATACATAGGGTGGGAGAGACTGAAATTTGTGCATGATGAGCTGAGCTTGGCTGCAAGTCTTCTTGATGCTAGTTTCTGTCCGATGGGTGTGAATTAGAATAGGGAGACCCTGGAAGAAGGGAACAGATCACCCCAATGTGGATGATTTGATCAGATTCCAGTTTCATCAGTTTCCTGTTTTGTTGGACCACTGCAAAAACCACGACCGAACTGCCCAAGGACCATCATGAGAGACTTGCGGTCCGTGGCACAAAAGCTGATGCCTGGCGCTCTCAGTGTTTTGAGGGGTCGAACGAGCACGAGCCGAGACTTGGGGCCGTTCGACCAGCCCAAAGATAGCACCCATAGGAAAGCATATTTGAGGGGTCCTATACCATATTATGTATCCCATATATAGGGATTATACACCTAGAACCCATTTGATCCCGATCTCATCGGAAAAGACAGACCATCTCTTTGGGGCTTGGACTTGAAGAAGACATCCAGAAAGCACATAAATATGGGGGGACATCATCTGAAAGAACACCTTTTTTTCCCCAAGTCCAGGTGACTGGACAGTGACGAATTCTCAATGTCTCAATGTCTCATGGACCTTCCCAATGCGGTCCCTGTTGTCCCACCTGTTTGGGGGTCCTAGTGTGGTGAAATCGGACCGCGACCCCGGTTCGGATGGCCTGGTCCGGATGGAAGACGGAGCGCTTTGATTTTTTTGCCGAGGTATGTGATGATGCCCATGAATAGTACAGACCAAGGCGCGGATGAAAGGACCTTTGGAAGGTGGACATTGGACAGGAAGAACTTTGGACACTTTGATTGGTAGATATTTTCAAAGGATTTTCAACGCTTTGTCACCTTCGAACGGTGGATCTTTTCTCCCCAAGCCGTTCCTTTCGCTTCATGCTCCGTCCCCCCAAAAAGGGAACGTGGAGGAACACCAGATGCCTCCCATCGGCTCCCCTCCCTGACAGGGCGTCGGCTGAGAGACTGGGATTTGTGGGGCCCGCTGTTGCTGTGTCTGGCGCTGGGCCTGATCCTCTCGGGACAGGCTGGGAGGGCCAAGGGCCAAGAGGGTCAAAGGCTTTGGGGTGAAACACGGGACGCGCATGAAGAAGGGACAGGACAAAACTGGGGGGTGACACCTACAGTCATTCCTACCAACAGAGGTTGAAGAACCATAGACTATTCCAGTCTGGTACCCCAGGTGACGGTCCTATTTACGGTCACTTAACCTTTTTTGTATCAGAGATGGCCTGGACGCTGGCGGGATTCGACGAAGGACACCGCCAGCATGTTGGAGTCACAGAGTTTCTGCACGTCGCACGGAGCACGTGGAGACGATCGTCTCAATGCCTGTCAATGTCTGTGAACAATCCGCAAAGTAACTGCATGGTTGAATTGAGCATTCTTTTTGGGTGCTTGACAGAAAAATTGGTTGATCTGATAATGAGGCTCAACTCTTAGATGGACATGGCATGATCCTTTTCCAGCAACACTTGATAGCTTTTGATCTTCAGAGCTGCTGGCTCGGCACAGGCGGCGGATTCCACACAGGCACACGGGTGGGATAAACGGGGCTGTGTTTGCAAGCAAAGTGTGAGAAACTGCAGCTTTTCCAGGAAAACCAAGAGATTGCAATCGAGATTGTCGGGGATCTCCTAATACTTATGATATACTAATAATACTTCGTTCGAATGACCGTGATCCTGACCACATCGATCCGTCAGCTTAGCGCAAAAAAACGACAGCCCACCTATGCTACGTCCTCCAGGCCAGCTATGCTTTCGCAGACATCTTCGTCACCGTCTGGGTGGGATCGGGTGTGGTGACTCTCAATGCTTTGCTGCTCAGAGGGAAGGCCCGAGACGTGGGGAGGTCAGTCGCAGGGAGGCCAGGATGACCAGTCGTTGAGTCAGTCGTTGACAGTCATGTTGACGGTTGATGAAGATAGGAAGATTCATCTCCCTCCGGAGATGAAGCACCATCCTAGGTGAGTGAAAAGGGGGTTGAGGATCGCAATCGATTCATCAACTCATCCCACACAGGTCCAGGTAACTTGAGGCACTCCTTCGGCAGGGTTCCACACTTGGCAGATCGCAGCGAGAGAGCCAGGTGTCCTTCTTCCAGACGGTTTGCGTGCTGGGCTGCTTGGCCTTGGCAATGCGTCCGGCATCGGAACGGTTTGGAAATTCGGCCTGGCACGTCGTTGCAGCAGGAAGACAGCTTTTTAAAGCTGCAGACGAGCTCAAGAAAGGGGGCAGTTGTGTTTTTTTTGGTGGCTGAAGTGGAATTTGTCAGGGAAAGTTGTTGTTGCTGGATTCTGCTTTCGGGAGAAGACTCTAGTTTTCATTCAGAGTTCAATCATGTGGCTGAAACAAAGAGCTTGCGCTGCTTTCTTCCGGTTTGCTTTGCCGTCCAACGGGTTCGACATCCTAGATCCGACCAGTGACGAAATTCGATCGTTCGTTCGTTTTTTGATGCGGTGCCCACGCGGTATAGGTTTCGTGAAACGAAGATGTAAGGACTGTTGATAGGAGGAGGTTAGAATTGTGAAGCACATTTTCTTGTGGTTCTTGTGGTTCTTGGGTGACGGTGTCTGTCTCTATAAGGTGGACTGGTTGTCTTTCATGATGCTTCCTGCTGGTGTTGGGGGCTGCGGGGTGATACCCTTGCGGTGACTCGTTGGAAGAGAGGACCACGCGGAGTGGTAGCACAGTTGTCTCCACGCGTCTAAGGCTACTGCATCTTCCCTCTGGTGGTCTCAGCATTCTGTGCCATGCTACTGCACATCGATTGGTTGAAGGTGGAAGCCGACCGACCGAGAGTAAACTGACCAACTGCTGTGCAGTAACCAGAGGGGTGAAGAAATACATCAACTATAAGCCTTTTGGAGCCTGCCTATAAGCCAAGCGAGCTGGGGCCAAAACCTCCCATGTAGCAATTTAAAGAGAGGTCAATGTAAGACGCCTTTGCGAAAAGTAAACACACAGTCGCGAAAGATTCGCGGCAGATTTTGTGAACTTTTCATGTGCAAACGCTTGCAAACACGACTTTGCACAGAATGCAGCGCGCGAAAGCCAGCACGCAAGCCGGAAAGTGTTGCGAAAGGAATTTGCACAAAAAGAACTTAGTGACTTTGTAGAACTAATTCTCATTGGGTTTTGGACAACGCTCAAGTGCCCAATCGACTTAAAGATCAACAATGATCAAGCCTCTGATAAGCCCCTAAGCCCCTAAGCGCCTAAAAGAGATTGCACGATAAAAGCATTACAAGCCAACTCAGAAGCGCCCAAACCAGCCCATCAGTGCCAAAGCGCCTGAACCCAGTCCCTAAGTTCCCAGAAGCGCCGAAATCCATCCTGCAAGCAAGCAAGCGCCTTTTCTTAGCGCCCAAACCAGCAGCCCTTGAACAAGCCTTCCTGCCTTGATTGTCCAAGTCGAGGAGGCCTTGCTTGCAATACTGCGTCTTTTGCGGCCTAACACTGTTGAAGAGGCAACAGGCTATCCGCTAGAAGAAGAAGAAGGAGGAGAAGAAGAAGAAGAAGTTCTTCCAAGTAAGTTTGCAGGCATCTGAACAGATTCTTGGACTTGGGAGGATTCTGGAGCGCTGCGAAGTGGATCGTTGAAGTGGGATGGCTGGACAGTGCTCTGTGTCCGTATACCATCGTGATTGATCCAGCCGCCAGCAGTCCAGGTGGCCACTACCGGCCGATGGCCACCGACCCGCCATGCATGCCGAAGCTCCAAGCCACGGAGTTGGTCTATATATAGACCACCCAAACCTGCAAAAGGCGCATGAGCAACAGAAGCTGCCAGTCACTAGCCGCATTCGGCTGCATTCCTTCATCAACCCCTGCTGCCGGCGCGCGCTCTGTGGTTTGATGGTGATGGAGCAATCGAAGCAGACCAGAAAACTCACGATTCCCGGAGCGGACTTGGTTCTGTTCAAGTTCTCACTGCCGGACTCACACCTCCATAAACAAAGGATGGCCGGGTTCTATTGAGGACTTCTCCCAAGTCGCCGAAACGGGTCGTGCCCCAAATCGGTCGTCACCGGGACATCTTCGGCTTCGCGTTTCGCCACCAAAAGCCGCGGCCAGTTGCTGTTCGTCTTGGCGGGCCTGGCCTGGTCAGGGAAGGCCTCCTTGACCTTCGTCACGGAGCTCGTGCCCGAGGTGCGGACTGGAGATGACGGTGTTGATTCTGCGCTACTGTAGACCGAGTGTCGAGTTTGCAGGGAGTCTGCAGGGAGTTTGCAGTTCGGTTGTTTCTATCATCAACCCTTCATCATCGCTGTACACAATACCTTCTAGCTTTATGGCAACTGGTATCTTGAATGGTGTGACATGGTGTGACTGATGCCACAAGCAATCTGATCAGCCCACATGATTGTGCTTTGATTCATAGAGCGTTTGAACTAGTTTGAACAGCATTGCTGGGTCAACGACTCGCAAAGCCCTTCTGAGGACAAGAAACTCTTGGGCATTTATCCAGCAGGGGACCCTGATGGGTCCTGGGAGCAAGTGGATACTTGAGCTGGTTCTCTTTTGGGCATGCGGTGGACCCCATTGCAGAATTCATAAAAAGCATTCTCAAGCAGCACAAGTGCTTGTGCTGTTTCGTGCTTGATCATCACCCAACTTGACCACAGAAAGACCGCGACTGAGGCTGTTGGGGTGTTTCGAGTCCACTCAAACACGTTCAGAATGACCATGTCGATAGCGTTGACTCGACAAGCAACACGCCTGACTCGGCCTGCGGCCTGTGTTGATCGGATGATCCTCCAGGTGTGGCTCTTCTATTGTGCCATCGCGTGGATGATCCTCTTGGCATAGGAAGGGCCAACATGGCCATCGCTGGGGCCGCGGAAAGGCGGCGGCTTTGTCTGGGGCGGTGGGTTTCAGGCGCAGGCAGTGCTTGCTTTCTCAATTTAGTTTTGTTGTACGGGTTTTCTTGTCATTCTTCCACTGAGCTATGTTGAGCAGGGCAGAGAAGGGATGACACTTCCGTGCTCATTTTCTTTGTCTTCGTTAGATTGAGGGACGAACCCGTCGCTCGCACGGCCTGGGCCTGCAGTACCCAGTCTCCCGACGGTCGTGGAGAGATACGGCGATGAGCATCGCCGAGCTAACGAGTGGAGCCATTGGAAGGGCGGAAGGGTCCATGAAAACCATGCAAACCGCTTAAAGCTACGAGAAGCTGTTTATACGGGTCTAAGCTGTTTTCATGGCTTTATGGTTTTCATTGGCTTTTCATTGGTATTCGATAAAGCCATGAAAACCATGAAAAGAACTGGCTGTGCGCAATAGTTGGAAGCCTGTAAAGCCTATGTTTGTGGTTAGTTACAGATCTCAATGAAATGACTACCAGGACTTTTCCAGATAGCCTGACCTGAAAGATTCTTGTGAGGCTGAAGCGTGATGTGCGGTACCAAGGGTATGGCCAAGCTCTTGCGGTGGACTCTCGCCTCCAATGCTCCAGAGATGAAACGAACAGAAAAGGTGCGGAGGTGGACGCTGCGAGCATGGGATCTTGATGGAGGGATTTTTGGTGCAAAAAACCTCGGTGGTCATGGCACAACACCTGTCTTGACGAACTGGGTCCCACAGATCGGTTTCCAAACGAATGTGGATCGGACACGGTCCCTCTTTTCCTTACGGCTTGGAAAGGCTGTTCAAACAACGACTGGCTGGCAGAACTTGTGTATTAAGACAAGGGTGGGTGCTTTCTTGGGTCAAACTTAGTTGGTTCTCATGGTTGGGAGGAGTGGTTCGTTTGGAGAACCAGGAGTCACTCCTCAGGAGTCGTTCGTTTCAGCACCTCTTTCACTCATTTGGTTCCCTTTATCCGCTCTGAACAGAGTTGCGCATGAGGCGGGATAGCTTTGACCACATCCTGCAATGGCCCGGAAACCCGAACCCGTCCACGTCGCCATGTTGCGGACTCTTTTGCCCAGCGGCATCCGAGCAGACCGCTCGAATGAGCACCTTTTGTTGCTTCTCCGAGCTGAATTCCAATAATTCCATGAATTGATCTGACGCTTCAGATTTCTGAATTTTTGGCTGCTTGACGATGACATCTAGGGTAGACTCAAGTAGACTCTTGACTCAGTGATGGCAAGCCACTATACCGCCGCATGTCATTGCCAAGCTGAGCTGTGAGGTTGAAAGAAGCCAAAGACAATGCGGACCCGGACCTTGTGATCACGCTGATTGGCAACAAGGCTGACAAGGCCCGGGGTTCTTGCTCTTTCTTGGCCACAGGCAGAGCAGTGCTCGCACTGTCCTTGTTTCGGGGTGAACAGCCCTGGTCAAGGTGAGTTATACAATGTTATATACTGTTCAATTTTCAAAGTTTCAAGATGTTAGAATTGTTTTGTTTAGATGATGAAGGGTCATTCTGTTGGAACATCTGTGCTATTCGCTTTTGGCTTGGAGACCCAAGCCATAAGGTCTGGATTTTGGATTGCATCATCGTGGAATTCCGGTTGAAAGGGAGCCTGGAGTGATTGAAAGCAGTACTGCTGGTTGGCAGAAGTGCTGGCAGAAATCACAGTAAATGGCAGAAATCACTACATACTTTAAAAACAATGGAACATCAAATCAAATGGATCATCCTCCGTTTTGATACATGACTTCTTCCATCACTCGAAGATCCACAGAGATCCACTTCTTCCCCTGGTCTGACGATGCCGGCCACCTGGTCTGACGACGCTCCAGTGGCTTTTGAACACGCCGGAACCGGAACCCGTGTTCACATTCTTCCAAGGAGCGTGAGAGGCAGGTCCGCTACGACGAAGGCAAGATGTTGGCGAGAAGCCATGGCCCGGATCCTCATGATAAAAAGCTTCTAGGGTGAACAAGGAAGGGCCAGGAAACGAGCCACGGATCAAGAGGAAGGAACTTCTACAAAAGCAGTGAATCAACGGAGCGGGATTGAACGAAGGAACGACCGACGGAGCGACCGAAGGGGATTTCGACCAATTTGGTGGTGACCAAGTGAGTGGAGATCGTTTCGGGCTGCATGGCCATGGCAGCTTTTTCAGAAATTCTGCCTTAGTATCCCTCATTTTTCAATAGACTGCTAAGGGAAAAATGAGGGTAGCACCAGCTATGTGTGTTGATCAAACCACGCTAAAAACGCCCGGCTGCCCGGCCCCCTCAAAGCGAGGTCTTCTTTTCATGGAAACCTCTGCTGTGACCGGCCAGTCCGTCGACGATGCGTCCTGGCAGTGAGAAAAGCGTGGGTGAGGGGGGAGGTGTCAAATGTTGGGGGTGCTTGAGCAGTTGAGCAGTGGGTGTGATGGATGCACCAGAACCCTCGAGACACAGGGACGATGAAGGATGCTGAGTACCAAAGCCTGCCACACCTCTCTTCCCGTTTTCAGCACTGCGCAGGAAGAAGTCGCGCAGCGCATTTTCTCTGAGGCCTTTTTGTCTACGGCAAAGCACGTGCTGGTCAAGCAGCAGAAGCGGCATCAGGCATCGATGCACGCCCACGGAACACCGGACACTCCGCACTGAATAAACTCTTTTGCGTTTTCCGTCTGAAATGTGTTTGCTTTTACTGTTTTTATTGTTGCTGCTTTTGTTAATTATCTTTTTCTTTTTTGGCGGGCTGTGATCTGAAATGTATGTTTTCTTCTTTTTTCGGAAGTCCAACGTCCGCGCTTGTCAGGGAGAGATGCAGAATCCCATGGTCACACACGGCCAGGCGCAGCTTTGCTCTGGTTTGGTTGATGCCGGTGATCCCAAGCTTGAGCCCAACAAGCTGGCGTTTGAATGATGCACCAGGTTGTGAAGCGAAATCAGAAGACCAACACTTTGGTCTTTAGGTCGTTTGATGCTCTTCCAGGGAAGGCCCTTTTCTGATCAAACCAAGCTGACAGATGCTCAGATGCTCAGTACATTTCCGCGATGTTGGGCACTGACTCACTGACTGCCTTCAGGAGGGCTACTACTCCAACAACATGGATTATGCAAGCCTCCGAAGTCATCAACCAGGCGAACACCCAGGGGTCCGTTCTGGGTTTGTGGGGTGTCCTGAGGGTGTTGGGGCTGCGTCTTGGAATGAACAGTTGCAAGGAAAAACACCGAAAGGGCCAAAGAACATCATCCCTTCCCTATGCAGATCCACCATCCGCATCCGCCGACGTCTCCAGGCATCGCTCCCCCCCAAGAAGAACAGCATAGAACACCGCCGACGCTGAAGCTGAAGCGACAGGCTACATGCAGACGCTGAAGCTGACGCCCGGTGGGCCAGTTCACTCCGGAGGCGGAGCGGCCGCGTCGCGGCGCGGAGCGGCACAGGGGGACGGGTGGCGTGAGTGTCAAGTCTGGCTCTTCTGTGCGATTCCCACGGCCACTCTGCTTCATGGCCGGACAGAAGCGGCAGGGACGCTGCTTCAGGGTCCCGTAGTGTCCGTAGTCCCTGTAGGTCCCGTAGTCCGTTGCAAAGAGCTCGGTCCCACCGCTCCTGACTTCGGTCCCACGTTCCCGACGGTCGGTCGTGACGCGGTCCGGGCACGACCGGTGGTTGCTTCAAACTGGTTTGGGTCGCCTCGCGTCCCGGACGGACACTTCCCTTGCACCATGCCGCATGAGGCCACCACCCGGCCAGCCGGGCTAGCCTGGCCCGGGCTCCGTGTGTCTCCTTTTCATCGTTCGTCTTGCACGTGTCGCATGGGCAGAACCAACGGATGAACCGTTGGGGTTTCGGCGGTCGCCCCCACACCGGACGCGTCACCGGTGACGAACCCAGGAGCTCCGCCTCCGGCTGACTCGTGTTGCGGATGAGGCGTGTGGAGATCGGTCATGTCGGTGGGAGTGTTCATGCGCGTTGTGGAGCATTTTCGAAGAAACGTTTGGAACGTGAAGTAACATGAAGACGGAGCCCGTTTGCACCACAACAGTGAATGCCGTCCCAGTTCAGGCTCCGTGACTGAGTCAATTCGACCGCACGACTCTCAGTTTGTTTTTGGAGCAACGAGAGAACCTTGCTCAAATTCACGACAGCCAATACCTGGGATATAAGATGACATACCATGATACAAGTGTTGGAGGATGTCGGAGGGATTTGACCAAACTTCTTGTCATTGTGCCAACGCCCCAAAAGACCAGAGAGGAAGGACACAGTTCCAAGTGGTCACTGAGACACCTGCGTGAGTGAATCAGATAATGACAATATTTCCCACATAGCGACAGCTATGGGGTTCTTACTTCAAATAACAATGAGCTGGCTGTGTGCGCTTTTGAGACAGGTGCTGGCTGTGGTGCTGGTGCTGGGTGCTGTGAGCTGGCTGTGCGCGTGGTGGAGACAGGGTGCCGGTGCCGGGTTCTGGTTGCTGGTGCTGGCTGTGGTGCTCGTGCTGGGTGCTGCGCTGGTGCCGGGTTGCTGGTGCTCGTTGTGTGCGTGGTGGAGATTGGGTGCCGGTGCCGGATGCTGGTGCTGGCTGTGCGCGTAGTGGAGACACGCCACGCTGTATTGCGGCGTTATTTCCCGGGTAAAAAGGTTCCTGTGTGTGCTTTGGAGCTGCTGCCAATGCAGCGTGCAGTCCAGATTTTATTTGCATGTTTTTGCTATCTGGGGTCTATGCTGGTGTATTGTTTAAAACCAGTGCTGTAGAAAGAACAAGTGCATTCCAGGATTATATAAGGACTCGAGTTCAATCAGCTGTGTTGCCTGCAACCTCCTCAACGAAGGAAAAACTGTTTGACTGCGATTGGTCAGGAGTAACAAAGACTAAAGCGCAACATGTAGCCCATAGCCTATAGCATATATATTTGAATATTTTTCGTTCTGGTCGTGACACTAGAGTCAAACTCAAACTATACGGGATACGGAGTTTCCAATGTTGTTTTGCCAACATGACACCTGAGAGACGCGGAAGTCTTGCATGCCTAGTCAGCGAGTCGCATTTAGTCGACGCTGTCCTGAGCGGTGGCGAAGAAAGGACCGTGCTGCTGCCTATGACCCTTCTGGAGGTTGAGACGAGGGAACAATGGGTGTCAGAAAATTTGCTGGCTTGAACATCCAAGAGTCTGTGATAGGGACAATTGCCTTCATGGAGGTGCCCCTTTTATGGAACATGTTGATTCCCTTGTTGGAATCCATTGTGTCGATGGAGGTCTTTGGGTATTTCCGGAGTTTCCACATTCCGCTCTTTTTCACATCAAAGGCTTATTGTTGGAGCGACTGGTGTGACAGGTGACGGGAGGTTGCGATGACCAGCCGAGTGTTCCCACACTTTTCGATGACATCGGAACTCATTTGTTTGACCCAAAGGTTTGTAGCGTCTCAGGCCGTACGCAGGATTGGTCATTGACGCACACTTCACCGAACGTCGAATCGGTTCTACATACAGCTCCCGAGTGTGGCCAGTGCTGGACATGTCCGGTCACCCCATTCGTTTGCGTCTCGTCTCTCGGCGCACGTCGGGAGACTCGATGGTGTCAGGATCATCACTCTTGAGGCTCCAGTCCTTGATTCGACTCATAAAATCCAAGACTCAAAATCATTTTTTTTCCGAGGCTCCGCACCTCATGATCCAAACTTGCTGTTGTGTTCCATTTTTATGATACCGGCATGTCGAATGCAAGGCTCCACGTCGATCATTGAAGGTTGGATTCTACAGCAACCTGTCATGACCTGTCTGTGGTCTTTGCTCGTATTTGTGCAGGCTTCCCTCGCTTTGGGAACCCCAGGGAGACCCCTGTCAGAGAATCATTCATCGCATTTTCTGCGCTTGTGCAACCCTGTGCTGAAAGGAACATTCACCCCAATCGATTTTCCGTGCTTGTGCTGGAGCATTTGCTCGATGACCTGTTTGACTTTCTCTGAAGATCTCGGTCCACATCCAAAGAGGGGGTCCGCCACATCGTCGAAGATCCCAGGCGCGGGTGATGGGTGATGGGTGATGGATTCGTTTTGCTTTGGCGATGGGTGGCAGGTCAGCGCGCCACCATTCCCATGAATTTTTGGACAGGTACCCTCCACAAGAACTCTATAATCCTGACTTGAAAGTAGGGAGAGTTTCTGGAGTTGTTTCTCCTACAGTTTCAACCACGGTAATCTTCATGGGTTTTCCCTGTGACCTTTGGCTGACGACGTTGAAGGTATTAGTGTGACGATCGCTGACGGTGAGCGGTGTCACCTGAGCCGAAGTGGCGCTGAGATCAAGGTACATGTGCTGCCTGGTTCCATGCATTTGCACAGGTGGTGGTATGTGGCTTCATTTTCTAAAGCTCTTGACTTGGTCCACGATCTTTGCTTCGAAGAAATTCACTCTCACGTAGTTACCTCTGGATCCTCTACTTCACCCAATGCAAGTTTCTTATCAAAGACGCATGTCTCGAGACATGCGTTTGGTTCTTGTTCCAACCCCAAACCCAAACCATCATAAACCATCCTCTCGCCGTCGTTTCTTCTATTTTGTACACCAAAGGCACCGGTTCCCTCACCCCCCACGACCGACCCGGCCGTTGGTGCCGCGACACAAGAACTTCAGGACACGAGCGAGCACGGCGCCATGGCGATGCGCGCAGTCCTGTCGGGGTGCCCTTCATGGCGCCGGGAGCGGAGAGGGAGCGTGGTAGGTCTTGCGTAGCCACCTGAGAGCCTTGCAAACAGGTATTTACAGTAATGGTATTGAGGTGTAGCTGGGGTCTTTGTGTGGTTTTGTTTGGATTTCAGTTTGTTTTTTTCAATAATGGTAGCCTACCATTAGCGGGGTATGGCATTTGCAGGGTCACTCCTTAGCTGGTGAGGACATGTCCAGTTGGAGCTCAAGGGAGGGACATAATGAGTCAGACTGGATATGGATGATGCGAGGATTGATGAATATTTGTGTCCTCGACCCGTTCAGCAAGTAACAGCATTGACCAATCCCCTCCGATTGCCAGTGGAATCACCCAAAATGCTTCGAAGTTGTGTTTCATCCTAAAATCATTCTGAATCCCTCCGGCTTGTGCGGACTGGGGTGGGTTTTTGTAAAGAAAGACAGCTGGTAGACTGACTCGTGCGATTCGTGAGGAAAAAGGCGGGCTGGATCCTAAAGTGTCTCCTGTGGGGGTCAGCCACCCTCATTCCCTACTAAGCAGCAGCCAGTATAGTAGACACATGGTGGGAAGCGGAACTTTTGTTGGCGGGGAAGTCGGGAAGTCGAGCATTGGGAAAGCCCACCTCTTCAGGTTTGATTCCTTTTCGGTGTGTATGGTGCGTTTCTTGGTGGAAGCCCGCTGAGAGCTCAGCTACTTCATTTGAGGGACCATTGCGACACAAGCCGCTCGCTGAGTCGCTGAGGTCCCGAATGGCAATGCCCTTGCGAAGTACCCTGACGCGGCTGGGGGGGCAAAGTGATTTGTTCTGTCAAGAGGGATCAAATGCATGCAGAGTTTGAAGGATTTTGAAGCTCATTGATTGCTTCCTGCTCGGGCTCTAGCGGCAGCTTGGAGTGCAAAAAGCACCAACACTGCCCTTGTGTCGGTTGAATGATGACAAGCAGATCAACTCCTTGAGGTCCCAGAACGAGCACAAAGTCACGCCCCATCTCTCCAATGTACCCAGGGCCCATGTGAATCACATGTCATCGCATTTGGTTGAGCTGAAAAAGTCCCGAAAGGCAAGTCCCACTCAAATCCCATCCATGCCATGGGCTTTGGCTTTGTGCTTCAACAATTGGAAGTGCTTCTTGTGAGCTTCTTTGCTGCATGCCCATTCATTCTCATCGTGCAAAAGTTGTCATCGCTGGATGCAGAAACATTTCAGCCTTGCAACGACCAGCCCTGTCAGCTCTTCCGTCTCTTCACCTCAGAAGCTGTCCCAGGAACAGCACCTGATCTCTTGATGGTGCAGAATGGGGTCTCACGCCCAGTGATGCTCAGTGATGACTTGACAACCGCAGTGCCAGTGCTCTACCAGCAGCCAGTTGCTCGCTCCAGGATGATATTCCTTGGCTGTTTCTTTGGGGGCTTTGCATATCAATATCCTGGAGAAGGAGAGTTTGTTTCGGACATCCAACAGGCTTGAGAAGTCTGCTTGTCGGGTGTGTGCATCGGCTTCATGTTCAACAACTCGTTTCAAGCATGGTCCTTCTCTGTGCTAGGACGGAAGCCGGACATCATTCAACATGCGCGTAAGATGGTGGAGCACCATCAGAAGAATAGCACCGCAATCAACCAGTTTCTCGAAAGCCACCCGGGCACCCGGAGCCTGGTGAGTAATCTTACGCATGTTGCGTCCAGAATGCAAGTCTCTAAAGGTGTTTGGTCAAATTCTTGGGATCGTGTCAGAACATTGATATATCAGGTGGCATACCTTGTGGAGAATGGATATTTGACGGGCTATCAACAGATCGTGCTTTGGTTGTCTGGGGAGTCGACTACAAGCTGAGCTGACAGCTGCCCCACGCTGTCAGAACACAGATTTCAACGCAATGCAGGACAAAGCATACCATCAGAAGACAACCTAGCTTCATCCCGCGCGATGATGGTGTACCTGCTGTCAATTACAATGTGGGCTCTTTTCAAGGCTGTTCATGAAATTCTCCTCTTGTGGGATTGTCGAGAGGAAATTTCTCTCACAGTGGCAATTGCTGGTCTTCAATTCCAAGGCCTTGCAGTGGGTAGTGGTTGGATGGTGGCCATGGGTGCCTCTGAAGTCTTTGTGGCCCAGGTGGAGGCATTCCAGGAGAACATGCCCTGCCAGTGCTACTACACGCTGGAACCTCTCACTGCCTTCTTTCTCATGAGCACTCCCCTTCTTCTACTGTACACCTATCTTTGCAAAGCAAAGCGTGTTGCTCAGGCAATCCTTTCTGGAGATTACATGCACACCAAGACGTTTGAGGTTCGCTACGACATGCTGAAGCTGAACGAAGCGTGGGGTTCACATGACCTGCTTCTTCCTGTCCCTGTTGGTCATTCTCAGCAAAGCTGTCCGAGACAGTTCCCAATATGGAAAGAGAGGGCTCTACTTCTTTCGGCACTATCCATATTGAATCGTTTTCCTATACGCTTACTGACCGTTTGGGTTCCAGCAGGCCTCGCATCAGCAATGGTACTTCCTAAATTAATGATTTAAGGGCTTACGCCCGACAGCCGGCCAGGGGCCCAAGCAAAGGGCTTGCTGCAGTCGTGATAGAAAACCAATGGAAAACCAAGGTTTTCGGCGACCATCTTGGGGCTAGGTTGGCCCATCTTGGAGGCTATGTTGGCCCATCTTGGGGCTATGTTGGCCCATCTTGGGGTTATCTTGACCCAGCTTGGGGGCTATGTTGGCCCATCTTGACCCTATGTTGGCCCATCTTGGGGCCATGTTGGCCCAACTTGGGCACTTTTTTCGGCTTATGTTGGGCCATGTTGACCCATCTTGAGCCACAAAGCCGGAAAAAGTGGAAGAAGCAGAAAACAATGTAAAACGCGGGACTGCGCATGAGTCGAGCAGGGGTCGGCGGCGAGGGGCGGACGCCGCTCTCTCCTTTGGAGAGGAGAGACGCCTACGGCAAGGACACGGCCAGCGGGCCCCTGGCCGGATTTTTCTAGCTTCCCTTGCCGTGGACCCAGAGTGGCGACCGAGTGCCATCTGGCTACGAGGGCTACTGTGGTTGCCAGCAATGTCTGGGCCTCTTGTGTTTGCATTGCGATCCTGGAAGGAGTGTGGCAAACTCCGTGGACTGGCACAGCTGTTCTTTTTTTGGAAGCTGGTGTGGTTCATTCCACATTGTTTTTTTCTTCTCATGCCACGACTGCAGCCGGATCATTCAATATCGGGGTTAGAATTGCAGTTTGACGTTCAATTGTGGATGGCAGGAGCATTTTTGGCTGCTGGATCCTTTTCCAGAATGCTAGAACGAGACATTCTCGAGGTGGAGACTTCCGCAGAAACTGCCCTGTCAATCCACGCTGACTTGGCACTGTTTCATACGACTGGCCTATTGTCGCCGGTTTTCTGGGGCCACACACTTAAAGATCCACGCGACTTGGTTTTCATCTCAGATCAGTGCTTCTGGCAGATTTATCAGCTTGACAAGCTGTTGAAGGAAGCGAGGTCCTTTGTGAATCAGCAGTGTGTTCTCGCTGATCCAGATCCACGTCTCTGGGAACAACGCCTAAAAAGCTTTCTAACCAGAGAACAGTCTGGCTACGAGGAGATTCCCTTGCAAAGTGAAGAGGAATCTCCACGGGCAATGCCCGAAGCTTCGACAAAGTTAAATCCGCAAGCCGTAAGCCTACTAGGGCTGCGAGAAGATTCAGCTTTGGCTTGAAATAAGGTCCTGCTGCGGCATGAACACATTCAACAGGTGACAATGACGTTATTACACTTGAGGATGCTCCACCCATAAGGTGGTTGTAACCAGCTGATGGAAGCTGGGTCGTAAAACAGGGGATGTCCAATTCTTCCTACTCCCACGTGTTCAAACATTCTGGAACTTTCTGACAATTCTCTTCGTGCTCGGCTGCTCAGTGCTCCAGCGTTGTCAGGTCTCCGGTCGCCTTCAAGCCGCTCCAGCAGCCGCGCTGCAACCTCACGACCATCTCGCGGCCCCTCTGGAGGCCGTCTGCGATTTGTTCGGGGTGACGTGGTCGACGGATGTTGACGGATGTTGAGGTGGTCAAAGAGTTGATGATGTCTTAGCGACAGCCCAAAAACGTAGCATGGCCAAGATACCATGACAGCTTTTCCCAAGCAAATACAATCGTCATGTTGTCCATGTAGCAACTCGTTTGGTTGCATCCAGTGGCTGTGGGATTCTGGAATGCTCACCAACTGGGGCATGCCAGATGTTGTTCTGAAGTTCTGTTAGACAGTTAGACCTGAAAAGAAGGATTTGCAATTGTGGCAGTTTTAGATCATACGGCGGGTTTGACGGTTTGTTGGAGCAATGAGCAGCAGCCTTCGACCCTTTCAAGGCTCTCCTTTGAGAGATGCATGAGCAGTAGCCTCTGGTGGCTAGTCATGAGACCAGTCACAGAGCTTTGTCTTTCTCATAATCCCCTTGCTTTGTCGATGACCCCTCCTGCCAAGGGACCTTCCCTTAGGGAAATATATTCCTCAGAAGGTGGACCTCTTCTGTCAGAGAAGAGCGACAGGAAGATCAAGATCATTGCTTCTACCACCACTTCTTCCCGCAAAAGGCTGCGACCAAAGTTGAACCCACTCGGTAGTCAGTCTGTTGTGGCCAAGTCCTTGCAGAACTCCCCCTTCCCCAGCCGTCTTGACCAGGCCGGAAGTGCGCGCCGCTACTGCTTTGATCCAGCCACGCCAGGAGAAGGCCTGGGGACTCAGGATGTCACGTGGAAGATGTGGATGGGCACTTTCAGTTGAAAAACGCCATGTTTCAATCTACAATTGGTGAACCTGAGCAGATGGTGGAATTGATCATTCTTGATCATTTCGGACCAGACCTTCGGCTTCGAACAAGTTTGGTAGTGAGTAGCTCAAAGGCTGAAGATCAGCTCCTCAGACGGGTTGATGGGACGATTGGCCAACTCTTTGGGTATTCAGACTGTGTGGACGACTGGCCCTACAAACAGTCAGACCCGTTTGACTGTTCGATTCGACCCTCTGGACTCGAAGGTTTTGGCACTCGCGGTCCGCGGTGGAGGTCAGTCTTGTTCAACCCACCTCATGCGAAGCGAAGCGGAGTCCGTTTTTCTTCTTTTTTTCTAAACTGAACAACTATTGGGGCGCCCGGGGCGATGGTGATTTCTGGTGGAATTTGGTTGGCAGAAGTGCCGGCTGAAGGTCCCTCGCCTTCTTGGGTTGCCGGAGGTTGTAAGGGACGAGCGAAAGAGGAAGACATTTTGACATTGGATTTGGAGTAAGATCTAAAAGAACATGTATATAAGCACATTGGACATGTACATGTCTGAATTTCCTCCACTGGAGCTCCCATCCACATGGCCCGCCCCACGACGAGCCGAGCCGCGCTTCGCAGCCGAGGCCCATCCACCGGTGGTCAGCGGTCTTCGCACCATGTCCACGTGGCGCCTTCGGCCCTATGCTGCTGCAGGTGGGGCCGACGCGGAGCGACGTCGAAGCCGTCGAAACCGGAGCGTAGCAACCAGCCCAGTGGAAGATGAGGATGAGGATGAGGATTAGACACACTAGAGTCACTATTGAGTGTTAAAAGGAGGGAAGGCATGATCAAGTGTTGGTTGGATATCGATTTTGGTCATCCCTCCAGGTAGCCATTCACTCAGGTTTTTTGCCAGTCAAGATCTGTCAAGCATACGAGAACAACAGAAATCCATCAATTTCCAGTGCTGGCCCCTTCGTTTGCATCCCATCCTCCGACTCATCAGTCCATCCAGCTCTGTCAGGAGCAGGAGCAGCCCTGCCCTTAACCTCCCTCAGTGCCGGCTACAGCAAGGTCAGAGTGGAGGGAACAGAAAAGGTTGGGAAGGCACTTCTTCATAGCAGTGTATCTCTTTTTTCTTGTGAAGACTTTCAGCTGATGGGATGTGCTTAAAGCACAAGACGAAGGCGGAAGCCCAGCATTGTTTGCCAAATGTTTATGGCAGTGCGCGATTTGGAGTGTGGGTGCTGGTGTCCTGCTGGTGTCGACCCCAACAAATATCTTTTGCTATCTGGGGTCTATGCTGGCGCATTTCTATTTTTGCAAGGAACAAATAGACTTCATTTGGCTTTTTGAGTCCAAACCATGTCTGAAAACAGCGATGAAGGGCGGGATGCTGTGAAAATAGACTTTGCCACATAGAAGAAAATTGATGCTGCGAAGGTTTGTCCAGAAAAACGGTTCTAAGCAACTCTGCTACTCAAAAGAAGTCTTCGCTGTAGACAATGGAGTCTTCTCACACATCCATATCCGTCAGCCGAAGCATACTTGCCCTACCAACAATACCAGGAGATTCATCTTTGAGACAGACTCAGCATATAAACAAAGACACACTTCAAGGAGCCTGCCTCAGAACATGTGTGCTGTGCACAAGGGATTCGTGATCAGGTGGGCCTGTCTTTGCTGGTGCTCCCCTGGAAGGTGCGGGACCCGCTAAAGCTGAAGCGCTCGGTGGTGCCGTTGTGGCGGGGATGAAGGGGGATGATGAACTTGCAGTGGTGAATTCTTGGTGAGGTTCGAGCTTGATTGACTGGGCGTGGGTGTAGTGGGTTCAACGAGGGAGGCCATTTGGACTTTGGAATTCTGACAGTCTTGAATCAGCTATAATGATCAATATATATATATATAGTGCACTCCAAGGGTACTTTTCAAGCAGCTAGGCATCGGTCGACCTCGAGAGCTTGAAGTTTCTGAGACCAGTTTCAGCTTCTTCATGTTTCTTTGCTTTTCTTCAGTACAGTAACTTCTTTTGCAGCTGCTGTCCCTCTTTACCAGCATCCGGCCGAGCCATCCAGCGCGCCAAGCCCACCAGCGCCCTTGGCCCGCCCTTATGCGCCTCGCACCGGTGTCAGGCGCTGCCCATGGCGCTCGCACTGGCACCCACCGTGTGGGTCTTGCCGGCGGCCTATCGCATGATCTTTCAAAACTCTATGAGGTTCCCGGGATGGGTCGAACGCGGTGAGAGGGCGGTGAGAGGGCGCTTGGCGCGGGTTGGGCTTTTCCATGGGGCTGGGCAGAGGACATGAGGGGAACATGTTGTTGTTCTTTTTGACATGCTGTCAAGATTATGATTGTGTTTTTTTTGCTTCACCCCAATTGATTTCTGCAGGCAGGCTTATGTAGTTATATACTTTTTTGGGGTCTCTTGCTACTCTTACATGTGAAAAAACACTTTGTGAAGTAAATAAATGGGTAGTCTCACCGGGTCAGCATGAACGTTGGACTGCTGGCCTGCACGCCACAGGCATACCACTGCATCCGTCTTCACAGTGATCTTGTATTTGGTGCTCTCCTTCATGCCAGTGCCATGCTCCTCGACTGCCTCAATCTCTGGGCCAGTTGGGAAGGTGAGTAAGGATTCGCGAGGGTTGTTCTCATGAAAAAGGCGCCCCCAACCACTTGCGATCGCAAGCCTCCCATGTGGTAGACGCCAACGAATGCAGAATTTCCTTGTACCGCTGAGGCTTTGAGAACCTCTTCTCCGAGCTGGCCTTCTATGGCATCGCCCTGGTCTCCACCTTCTTCATGTCTGCCCAGGGGGGGAAGTGGTGGCCAAAGTGGGGTCGACCGGTCTCCTAAAAGAATTGTATGGGAAGACAGCTGCGTTGATTGGATGTTCATCTCCTGCAGTGTTCATAGGATGGTTGCGGGTCCTGAAACCCGGTCAGAAACCAAGAAGAACCAAGCTCGGAGGAAGTCAGTCAAATCCAGAGGGATACATGCGAGGAGAACGGCTTGCAGGTCTTCATTGTTCTTTGATATCCCATTGCCATAGTTGGCTGGTTTGTGCTTCACCAAAACAACATCGAACGTGGAACGATGATTTCCGCTTTGTGATGATTTTTCCATTTGATGTGAGGTACACCTTCTTTCCGGAGGTCCTTCTTCATGACTTCATGTGCCTTGGTTCACGGACCGGCCGCGGAGGCAAGCAACGCTCCAATAGCGTGTTGGAGGTGGACGGGTTGGCAGGGGAGAAGCTCACCGACAGAGCTTCCCCGTGGCCATCCATCTCCACAATGATTGAGCAACCAGTGTGGATTTGGACACGTTTCCGCATTTCGTGTTTGAAAGGCCCTTATGAGGATGACGCTTCATTTCTAGGGAGTTGACCATAATCGGTTGGGCAGAACGAATTCTGACGAAGATAAGCGGAGCTGTGGTTTACATCATTTTGCATCCCAGAGGGTAGGACTTGACTTGTTTGTCTTTAGTTTTGACCAGGCATGCCCATATGGCTTTGTGTGGACATTCTTTCTATTCTCCATGGCCTTGTCGAATGCACCTTTGCTGGCTACCACAACGCTTCGGCTGCTGCCTAGCAATGAAGCCAACAGGAAGACCTAGACTTCAGCTGAGCTCTCTCCTTGCTCACTCCAAGTCTGACTCACCACACCGAGGTTCATGCACTACTTGGCGCTCTTCACGATTCCATTGATCCCCTTGGCCTTTGCCTACATGCCCATGTTCGCAGCCAGGAGATCCGCCAGCGCCACGATGTCTGGTTCGATGTCCTGCCGTGGTGATTCGACCCACCATGGCAACAACCCACACCAACAGTCACAGTTCTGCAAGTACATGGTGGTTGTCACCGTGGTCGGTGTTGTTGAAACACTTGCTATGGCTGCTTATCAATCGGCAGAACTACGGTGGTTCAGTTCGGTTCCAACTGGAGTTTCGTCTACTATTCACTGTCATCAGAAGGACACGAATGGTTGGTTGACTCGCACAACGATCGGCCAAGACTCACCAATTAACTCGGCAAAGATTTGGGTCATTTGCTGGAACGAAAGGCATGAAGAGAATCCAGCAGTCTGTTGTCCATGCGTTTGTGACTGATTCGGACAGAAGAACCTTGGCCAGGAGCTATCTATTCCTCTAGATGAACTGTGCGGTGACCAGATATCAGTGGTGTGCACGGAACAGCACATCAGACCGAATCAGACCCTCCTGAGTTCTGCCAATGAGAAGTCTTGCAGAAAAGAAAAAGGTATCAACTTGAATTTCAACATCACAAAAGACAAGTGTAAATGCTAAATTCTAGTAAACATAATATCTAAACATTGTGAATTAAAGGTATATAGATCGATATTGTTACATATATAATACATTATATACTGTATGACATTATATGCACATTGTACATTATTGTACATGTGTTTTATTTGTTCTAAGGTGGTTGGCCCTTGGGGCGGAAGAACGACCTTTTTAAAGACGGCAGACAGCACACATCGCTTGGAACCGGAAGTTTTGCCGCGGAGGGTGGAAAAATCGCTCGCGCCCTCGCTCGCTTGTGCTCTCGCTGATCGTGCGTCTCAGTTGCGGCATGTGACGTGATTGTTGAAGTTCACGTGTGAGTTCTCGCACTTTTCACGTGAGTTCTGCAGAGAAGCAGAACTTCCAAATCTTGGTCCATGTATGTCCATGTCATTTGGTCCTCTTTGTACGAAATGATCTCCTTGCTTTGTCCTCTTTGCTTAACGTCTTTCAACGAGATCGCCGGAGTCACCGAGTCACTCCGGGTGTTCGGCTCGCATGGGAGCTTGCGGGTTGGGGCGGAGTGGGGTGGAGTTGGGTTTTGCTTATACAAAGAGAGGGTGGAGGGATAGGAGGGATGTAATTGATGATCTTGAAAAGTTTGCATGCTGAGTGAGATTTAGTGCTCGGAAAATCCAAGGAACAGAATGAACAATTATTGATGACACGAACATTGCCAGTCTATGCTGTTACTTTGATCACAACGGTTTTGCTTGCATGTTCTGCTTCGGTGTGTGAAGAAGAACACATCATCCAAAGCTTCTCAAACAGCCAGTCCCAGCATGCAGGACCGTTCTGGCTCAAGAGTAAATTACATTGAGGCGACATGATGTGGAGTAGGATGCCTAATCCCTCAACAAATCAGAGGACATTGCAACGAATGCCGAGACACGCCGATGACCACGTGGATGAGAGCTGTGCGGAACCGTAAGTGTGAAGGTCTCTCTGTTTGTAATCGGTCATTAGCCGCACTAGCTGGACAATGTCAGTGCAGAGTGGAGAGTCATGGAGATTTCAGAAGCTCAGAAGCATATCTTTCCACTTGTTGCATCCGAGCAACCTGTCAATTGCCGTGATGGCGAATAATCCAGGAGTGCTAAATGTTATTTTTGGTTGGCAAGCGGATTGTGTTTGTACGCGTGGTACTGGAAATGAGGCTCCCACCAACTCAATCCTACACCTTGAACGATGTAACTTTGTGCCTGAACGTCAGGAAGAGGCGCTTTTGGGTACTGTAAGTGACTCTTGGGAGGACCAATTCCTTGACTCAGTCAGTCACCTCGTTTTGTGGGCACGAATTCCAAGGCTTTTGACTTTCGCAACCATCTGCTTGTGGTCATTCAAAACATATTGTGGTGCAACATCAAATGTTCCTAAAGGATTTTGGCGCATTTTCGGAGATTTGGGTCGTCCGCCAGGAGAGCTCACAGTGAACCGAGAGGACTTTGAGGACCGCATTCCTGCGGGCGGGGTGGTTTTTGGGTCGGACACCCGCAAAAACTCTGTGAGGGGTTAGCTGAGTAGGAGGGAAGGCACCCAGTGGCATAGATACTTTCTTCTCTTGTGTTGACACTAGTCCATTTCTTTGTTAACGTTATGTGTTCAAGAGGTGGATGCACGTGTCCCCCGTTCTTCGGAGATTCAGCAGTTTCTGAGCCGTGTGGAGACGAGGCGAGAGAGGTAACGCTCTGACCTGCAAATGCAGGAGCCCGGCCGGCCCAAGCAGTCGGGGGATTTCAAGGTGCAACGCTTGGTGGGGGTCCGGGACACTCAGGCGGTGTGGACGAAGCGCGGGACTGGAGGCGCGACTTCCGGCAGGAGAGTCGGGGTTTGAGTCGAAATGGCCATGATGTTTTGATGCTTCAGAAGAAGAAGTGGAAGTGCCGCGCGGGACACTTCGCTGGAAATTCCGGCCTTCCATCAGGGGCGACAGGGGAGCAGTTGGTTCTGGCTTGGATCCCTTCGCTGTCGGGTCGAATCGGGCGAGCTCGCTGTGAGCTCCGTGTCGATGACGAGGGACCCGGAAAGTCACGCGAAGCACATGCGAAGCTCATGCGAAGAAGGTCCTGGACATCCAGTGCGGAACGTGCGGAACGGGACTTCGCCGCCGCCGAACTGGGGCAAACTGCAGGTGCACCTGACGTTCTGCTCCTGAGTTTGGACGCATGTGCAGCTGAGGTTTGGAAGGCAGAGCATATCTTGTGCAGACGCTGCGGCCAGGCACGCATGTCGAAACGGGCAGATGGAACCGATGCCGCTCACGGAGGGAGCGGATGGCAGGAAGAGATCCAGCTGGAAGAAGACCTCGAGGAAGCCAGGTTTTCAGCGATCTCATGGTGAGGAACCTTTTCAAACCACTGGTTTTGTAGAGGAAAGATCGTCTTTCCAACATCTTCCAAAGGTCCATGGCCCAGGGTTCCAAACGTCCATTGTCCCGGGTGTATTCATGAATGATGGTGCAGGTGGTTTCTGGATGTCCTTCGTCACCTCTTAGGGCACAGAACATGAGGATCATGCAAAGCAGATGTGCCGGAGCCCCTATGGCAGGAAAGTTCGATTTGTTAGGAAACTGTTCTACCCGCAGCGGTGCCTCAGGGAGGCTACTAGACAGTGAAGATTGCTTGAAAAAGAGACAGTTGTTCAATAACTACAAAATGAGATACCCCGAAACAAACACAGGGAGATCCAAACACAATGACTGTGGTCCATTTCCATCCTTGGATTGCGGAGTCGGATGGTAGGATGGTCATCTGGGGTCGATGCAGCGGGCCCTTCGGCGCCATCGGAGCATCACTGATCTGAAGGGCATGCCTCCGAAGCTGCAAAGCACAGATGCCATTTCGTTCATGAGTGTTTGATCAGGTAGACTTCAAGATGATTTGGTGCCTATGGATCGGCAGTTCGCCCCCACCCAAAAGAATTCAAGATGATTCAGATTTATTCAATATCATCAGCTTTCTCAAGGCCTTCATGGGCACTCACACATCTCTTCCCACACAGACTTCCCATCTCTTGACCTCCCCCTCCCCCCGCCGCGGCGCGTCTGGTTTCGCGGCCAACGACGGCCTCGCAGATCTTCAACTACGGCACCATTACAGGGCCAGTTCTGAAGTGCTCCAACTGCAGCTTCGAGCAGCCCTTCGATGAGAAGGTGGGGGTAAATCCCCTAGTTATGCTGCTGCGTTCATGTGCGTTTGTGGGCAACTTTCTGGCATGGCTGCCATGGCTCTTCCCATTGGCTCTTCTTGGGGCTATATGGGTTGGATGATGCCGGATGAATATGAATATCATGAACATAAAGAATATCATGAACACAATGAATATCATGAACATCATAAATATCATGAACATTAACATCATGAGCCCTCCAGTTCGCACTTTGCCATTATAGAGGTCACAGTTTTTCAAACCAAACCCACCAACCTCGTCGCACCGGGTGTCCGACCGCATCGCTCGCTCGATTTTCGCGCCAGAAGCCGATCTCCTCGGTGGCCACCGTCTACGAGCGGGTGGAGCATGGCGGAGGGACGGTGATGGTTTATTGTGAGCAGAGTTTGGGGGTCAGTATGGGTCAGTGATACAGGGTGATGCAAGATGATCAAACTTGCTTGCTTGCTTGCTTTCTTACTGCTCAAGTCCGGTGCGCAACTTACACCAAGTGAGTTTGAGGGTACTGTATTTGTTTAGCCAGGTGAAACCACCATGGTGGAGCACCAGCGCGGAACAGGCCAGGCCATTGAGATCGTGGGAGCGGCTGTGATCAATCATGGTCCATGGTGACCATCCGTCACTGTGATGGCCACGTGTAAGACATGTCTGTAGCATGACCAACATAGATAAACACAAATAAACGATATAATGGCGACTCTTTTTCGGCATGACAACATGACAATCTTTTCAAGTTTCCCCATGGACTTATCGTTGGGGACTTCGTTCGTTTGCGGTTCCCGGGTTTCGCGTTTCCCATGGATCCACCGATCTCGGATCCCAGACGTTGGGAGTTTCTTTTGGCTCACTGCTTCGACAGGAAGAATCAAGATGAATCGAAGTGGATAGAAGTGGAAGATCTGTGTGGAAGATTCTCAAGTCGTTTTCCCCCTCTTTTTGTTCAGGCTGGTGTCAGGAACCTTGAGTGTTTCAGTTCCAGCTCGCCCAGGGCGATTGGGCACAGATGGAGGAGGAGGCCTGGCCCGGGCCAAGGAAGAACGTCGAGGAACGGTGGCAGGTTGGTACGGCATTGGAACGGTGGGAAGTGTTGCATCAAAACCGTTGGACTTCACTAACTCCTCTTTTTGGGGATGCAAACATCATGTTTTCACCTTGCTCCAACTTCCAGGTTCATAACTTCTCATTTTTTTTTGGGCTGGTTGAATGCACTCTGGTTTGCTTGAATGCGTGTGGTGTAGTGCATTCCTACAATGCCCCGACCTTTAATTTCCAAAACGTTTAAACAACAATTGATGTTCTTCCGTGGGTGGTTTCTGTGGAACCAAAGCAAACAATGTGCAAGCAGATTCGAGGGCGGTTTGAAGGGTGTTGCTGAATCTTTATCCAACTACTCATGGATTGTGCAGGAGAATCTCCTTGCAAGATTCTGATTGGCTTTTATCAAGAAGAGTTCCGAGACTCATTGATACCATCACTGTGGAAGGACACAATCTGAAGATAGAGCCAAATTCTAGATACATATATAGGAAGGTGTATGTGGGTGTACGTGAGGAAGATCATTTCATACATATCGTTTTCGTTCGTAGTCCCTCCATGGATTTTTCGGCAGAGCGGTTGCCTGTTCACGTCCCTCCTTGTTTCGGACCATCGTGAAGTTCGGTCTCAACCTGACCCCCAAGACCCCAAGGCCCAGTACCCTCAGATGGCTTTCCACCAGGTGACTGAGCATCCAGAGATCGACCAGGAATGCCCCAGTGCCTTGGAGTGCTCAAGTGCTGCTTTTTCGCTCGCAGTGCATTAGGCCCAACATGCCTCATGGGCTTGATGTGTTCGGCTCGATGTTCTCCGTCTTCCGATCATCTTCTGAGATCGTGCAAGAATCAGGTGCTGTGCTAGGTTCATGGGGTCACCGGGGTCACTGAGTCTCCTGTCATCACCTATGTTGGTGCAAGGGAAGTCAACAGCGCCACAGCAGCATGGTGGCTCAGGTTGTGGTCACAATCGCTTGCAGTTCTGGACACGACAGCTGCGCTCCGCAGATGAGGGCTTGAGCGTCTTCTTTCTTTGCTGGGGGACTCAGCTGCGTGTGTGTATGTTCAGTTCGGGAAGTTGTGAGCCATGTTTTTATCTTTTTCTCAAATCTTGAAGAGTTGCCTGTAGCCTGTAATGTATATGATGTTCAATTGCGGTCTCATCATCTTCACCAATTTGCAAAGCTGGAATCTATCTGCGTAACGCAGCAATCGTAATGCTTTTCAGATGAGCTTCTTGGACGGCTTCATCTCTTTTTCTACGACATTCAGCATCAATTCTTTTTGCATGACCATGCAGTCCTCATGACCATGGCCATGACCATGGCCACGTCCATGACGTCGCTGGCGGCGATCTCCACGTCTCTCATCCTGTCTCTACGCTCGGCCGCCGGCTTCATCGCGGTATCGGCGAGTCGCGTCGCCGGCGATCGCCACAACAACAACGAACAGGACAGAAACCATTGAAGCCTGGGAGGTTAGAGAATTCCGGAAAGTAGGAAGAGAACCGTCCTGAATCCAGTCCCCCCTTGAACCATGGAACCGGGGAGAACCGACATGAGCGACGAACCGACATGAACGACGAACAGAGACTCCGGTTCCGGGACCTCCCGAAGAAGCTCGCTCGGCCGACGCAAACCAACTGGCCGAGGCAAGAAGTGCGGCTGGCGAACGGTAGAGAAGTGATTGGGCGGCACCAAAAAAAATAAAGCGACCGGTCCAATGGTTGGTGGTGATGTGGTGAGCCATTTTGTTGATTCTGGGAAGCGCACTCTTCACCTTAAAAAACAAGGTTTGAGACAATGTGTATATAAAACAGTTTGTAAAAAGACATAGCCATTAGGCTTGTCCGCAGCTGGATGGCACATCCAAATGCAGCACCTCTTGGTTCAAAGTCCTTCCATGGGCATGGGCACTCATGGTTGACAGACAATCTTTTTCCAGTTGCCCATGCCCGTGCCCCTCGCGGACATGTCGTCACCCGCAGTGGCCGTCTTCAACGTGGCGTGATTGGTCAATGTGAACCCCACTTCCGCCTTGGCTCAGGACATGTTCAAGAGACAATTTCATTCATTGATGACTCTACTTTGATGTTACCGATGCTGCTAAGACCTCCTTCCGAGTTTCAACATTATATAATTTATACATATATATACAGTATATATAAGAGACACACACACAGAGTGGATTCTCAATGAAAAGGACAGTTTTGTGTTTCTTGCATCCCACTTCCCACCCGATGCTTCGAGCTAGGTCGATATATCGTGTTGTTCAAAAACCATCAAAAGCAATCCGCCTCTTTTCCGCCCAAAATCACGGCGTTGCTCAAAGTCGTCAGCAAGCTCCTTCGTGGTGGCAAGTCCAGTAAGTTGGCAGGATAGGCTGCAGGATAGGCTTGTTGGCAACAAGCCAATCGTGCCAAGTTTTTGTGTCCAACCAATCCTTTGAAAATCTTCGAGCTCCCGGTTCGGTTGCTCTTCGAGCTCCCCGTCGGTCGGTCTTCGCGAAGATTCGAAGGTTCGTTTCCATGGTTTGCGCCTTCCGATCTTCGTCGGTGGAAGGCGATGTTGAAGGAGGGACCCATGCAGCTGACAGCAGCTGCAGCGACGGGTTATATAGGTCTAGGTGTTTGCATCGAAGACTTCGAGGGGAATGAAAGTACTGTAAATAGCAGCGAATGAGCCGGACACGCCGATGAACACCGACACCTTCAGACACCTGACCTGAACACCCTTACCGCAAGAAATCCTACTGTGGACACACTGTTTGGGGAACACAGAGATATCTGTGCAACACAAGGCAAAAACAACAAGCGGATGTTGGTTCAATACTTGTGCAACAATCTGATTCAGCGACACAGAATTCTACTGCATGTACAAATATGTTTCGACCTTTAATTCTGTAGGGCTGGACGTTGTTCTTGACAGCCGTCCATGAACGATGTTCATGACATGATCCGCTTGGTTTCGCAGTGGGTTTGGATGGATTTGTTGAAAAGAGTTTCCTTCAAAGCACTTTCCTTTTTGGACTGGCAGGGTATCAGGGATCATGATTGCATTTGTGTTTTTTCCGGCTCGTGCAGGACATTTCAATGTGTCTATGGATACATCATCACATTGTATGGATTGGTTACTCAGAGATAGTTTTACACATCAACATGCATCTCAACTGTGTGTTTTTTTTGTCTCCTAAAGATGGATGTTGGCTCTGAGCAAGATGTACCATGGGTTTATTGCAGGCACTGCTCATGAATGGATGATTGTGAGGACGGTATCGGTGCAATTGCCTTGTGAGCTTGGACAGTCAGTGACTCTGATTGTCACGCTTTGGACATGTAGCTTTCACGTTCAGTTCTTTGCGCACCTGCTCTTGGCACAAGAAGTGCGTTTGATGAACGGTGGAGAAGTAATGCAGAAAAAGAAGATCGCTGATGGGGATGAGTTTGTGAGCAACGCACGAACCTGGGTCTTGCGCACAGCAACTGACTATTCTTACACGCTCAACGCTGGGTTTCAGTGAGGCATCTATATTTCCATTGTTGGCTGCGCAGTTGTGAAGCACCAAATCAAATTGGGCCATTGCTGAATCTCGTACGCTGGTGATCCTATCTTCATGTTGAATCTGCGCAGTGGAGGAGTGGGGCTGATGGCCAAGTCTCGGAAGACTAGGTGATCAAGGAGAGAACCAGTAGCTTCTGGTGCTGGAAACCAAAACAATTTCAAGGCAACAATTTTCCGTTAAGTCAGTTTGAAACATGTGCATACCATAAATAGGAAAAACCTGTCGGACTTGTCCACAACTTGATGACACATCCACTTGTAGCACTCTTGGTTCAAAATCCTTCCAAGCTTGGACACTCTTTTTGCAGAGATGGCGGCCTGCTCGTTGCCCATGCCCATGCCCCTCGCGGACATGTCGTCACCCACAGTGGCCATCTTCAATGTGGCGATGATTGGCCATGTGAACCCCACTTTTGCCTTGGTACAGGACATGCTTGGGAGAAACTTTTAACACCTCACCCTACCATCTCACGACTCAAAGACTCACCATCTCACCCTACCATCGGTGGAGGCTTGGTATCAATTTACAGCTCTATTGCACTCTCACCTCCCGACCTTTTGTATTAAAAAGCAAAGGAGTCAATGGAAACCAACTCGGTGTTGGGATGCTTCGTGTACCGATGCTTCCAGATGGTTGGAAGTTGGAACTAGGTCGGTGTTGTGTTGTTCGACCAAAGTTAGAACCCGCAAGAGATGCGTGGCGTGGCCCCTTCTTGGGGAAATCCAAACACGTCCCTTTCGGGAGAGAAGAGCCGAAGAACCGCTTCATGGCTTGCGGTCAAGAGCAAATTGATCAAGAGCTCCGGGGCCCCTTTTGTTCCGCGAATCCGGCTCAGCACTTTGTAAGATTTCATAAGCCATGCCGAGGCACGTCACAGTGACTCCCCAAAGATAAAGCAGCAGAAGCGCCCAATGTCACGCAACAAGCTGAGCCCATCTACGACTGCGTTGTCCGGGAGTTCTCCTGTTCGGCTCCGCCGGTGGCCGACGTCCGGCTCCGCTCCGCGACCCGCTCCGCGACCCGCTCCGCGACCCAGCCGAGCGCGTTCCGTTCCGCGCGATCCGCGCGACGAGGAGCTGGTGCAGAGAGGTTGCCGCGTGCACTACTTCTTGCCGCCCGTGGAGGCGATCCGCCAAGCCGCCAAGGACCGACACATGTGACGTCGTGAGACACGATCCGCCAAGGGGGAGCGGTTCGGTGAGCGGTGAGCTCGAGCTTGTGGTGTGCTGGGTGTGCTAGTGCTGAGATGGCGTGAGTCGTCTCACTATATGTGGGTCATGAAATGAAAAGAAGACTTGGAGCCACCAAAACACCTCCTGGCCCTTTTTTTCTTTGTGGGCAGATTTAGTAGGTCGACGATTGAATCCACCACTTGCATCCATTTGTTGGTCTATGAACGTCTTATTTCAGTTTGGTCACCGTGACCTGACTCACTCAATTCCTGGAGAACAGGCCGCAAGGGGCAACAGGTTGAATGACAACGCGTGGTTCCTCGACCGCGAAAAGATCTACAATCTATATACTAATACTCTATAGCTGTTTACTATACCGCCAGTGTCATATTATTTCCAGAAAACAATATTTGACCCGAAACCTTCAGCGGACCATTCCTGATGACAAAGAACCCTATACTGAGCAACATGAGGTCCACCCTTCTCGGTCCAGCCGAGACTGCCGGGATGCCGGCAGTGCCCCGGGACCGCCAGGACTCGGGTGCTTTCGTTGAGAGCTACCAGCCAGATGTACAGGACCTGGTCCTGGAGCAATGTGGCACCCAGGAGATGATCGAGAAAAACCGCTTCACGTCTCTGTGTTCTTGAGCTTGGAAGTTTGGAGAAGGGCCATGCTTGGAAGGGATTGCGAAGTTTGTTGAGGTTTGGGCAGATCTGGCCGGTCTCGGGGAGACCCCAAAACCCCTCCAAAAGAGGGCCCAGGCACCTGGTCGTTGCCTGATTCTCACGCCTGGTCGTTGGAGTTGAGGAGCCACCGGCGGAGATCGACCCAGAGGAATTGGCGCTCTGGACCCGTGCCGTGTGGCCATTGGCCAGCACCTTGCTTTGTGGGGACTACATCTGCCGGCGCTGTGAGGAGCGGTGAACGGAAAAGGAGAAGAAGTCCGAAGACCATGAGGGTTCTTGTGATGTGGAGTCGCCTGGGGTGCCTTGACAAGCGGAATTGGCGCTTCATGCACTTGAACCACACAACAAGTACATAGAAGTACATGAAAGGCAGGTTCCTTTTGGCCAATATCACCCAAGTGCCATTTGCACTCCTTGAGTTTTTTCTCACCCAAACGCACTCCAACTCCCTCCGGCTCTCCAGACTGGCTCCCCTCCCCGCTCCGGTACGCCAGGAGCTGGGTGTCTCCGTGGTGCTCTACGACCCCATGACACCCCACGGGCTTTTGGTCGCCGAGAAGCTGAAGATCCCCAAGGTGCGCTGCGTCACACCGAGCGTGGCGGTTTTGGGCTTGGGAAGAACGCACTGAGGGGGTGGCAGCGAGAACACGAGTGGGTTTGGACACAGGCAGAGAGGCATACTTGTATATGATGTAGGGTGAATGGTGGTGGATGTGGTCCTTGGATGCATCTCCTTGACTCTCACCTCCCAACAGGTCCGTTTCCTCCCGGTCTTGTTGCTCCGGCCGCCGCTCCAGGCGTCGCTGGTGACCTACCCGGGCATGGGAAGCTTGTCGGAGCTGATGAGTCACACCGAGCGGCTGCAGCGAGCGGCGGAGATCCGGAAGCCCTTGGGGGACGAGATCCAAAAGGTCTTTGGAGTGGACCTTCAGGCCTGGGGAGCTGGGGCGAGAGGAGATGGCGGGGAGAGGGGGAGATGGGGCGAGTAATGAGTAATTCGTTTGGACGGAGAGCGGTGATGGGTAGGGAAGAGAAACGAAGACAGGACCTGGTGTGAGGCTGTAGAGCAGATGACAGAGAGCTCAAGCAGAGATGTAGGTATTGCGTAGTATCTAGGAGCTGGCAGGTAACGCAACCATGTTGAAATTAGACGATGGATCGTTGAATCATTTGAGAAGTTTAGGATAGGTCAGGGATTTCCAACAACAGATGCAACCTCTACTTGATTCTTGCTTTGATCAGATGTCAAGGACTTTAAACAGCTCCCTCGTGGCGTTTTCGATGGGACTGACGCTTTTGAAGTCCCAGAAACACTCGAACCAGTTTCAGTGCTTTGTGCCTTGGTCGTGTGTGGATTGAGGTAGATTTGTCTTGCTGGTTTGGGCTGTTCTTCTCAACCAATGATCTGATTCCAGCCTCACATTGGGCCAATGATGGGTTTCTTCTCCAACACTTCGCCGGAGAGTCAACATTCGCAGGGCACTATCCAACACGTTTGCCACTCTCAACATTCCCTGTTGCTTTCACAGCCATGTTTCAAAATGCAAAACGCCGTTCAACCATTCTCATCCTGACCGTCCTCGACCGGGCTCGACCGGGACCGGCCGTGTGTACGTGTCGCCGGGTCTGGCCGGATGGCGAGGTCGAGCTGTTGACACGACGGCAGTATTATGCACCTGAGCCCGAAAACGGCAAGCGTCTGGATGGAGGTGGAGGGTCAATAATTTGAGGGTCCAAGTATGCAGGACGAAGCAGAACTTGCAAAGATTTGAGCTACTTGACAAGGAGCTATGAGGATCGTGAGGTATGATAGACCTTCAATATGAATCAATTTTGGCACTTTTGGATGTCGTTTCATGTTAATGAGTTTGTACAGGGATCTGAAACTAAGAGTGTGATGCAGTGATGACCGCGGCGCGTGTCCGCCAGCGTTGCGGATGTTTTTGCCTGGCCATCACATGTCTGTTGCCTTAAGATCCTCAAGGTTCCAACTCTGTGGCACAACTAATCAGATCGTCCTGGTGCAAGAGGACACCATTGTTGATAGTAGCAACATCAACAGTACCTTTCCGGAGAAAGGGAACATACTTAAAGCTCAGTCCCCCCCATGTGACTGCGAAATTCGATTCAATCAGATTTCCAACATGTCAGCGCTGGTCCCTGTGGAGTCTTGGACTCCTGAAGTCTTGGAGCTTCAATTATAACAAGTTGATGCGTAGAACCATGGAAGTCCTATGAAGAGCCATGGAAGTCCTCAATCAACTTGGGAATTATATAGAACCTTTGAAGGCCGTCGACTCGTTGATGCGCGACGTTTCTTTTTGCGCTGCGAACATCATCGTTTTGCACCTCGACCGACCTAAGACCTTTTGTAGTTCCCAGTCGGAGCGACGGTCGCCACTGCGCAAAAACCGCTTGCGGAGCGACGAAACCTTTCAGACTCGACTGCACCTTCGGAGGCGTTGGGTGGTGTTTTCGCCGAGGCACCCATGAACTTCATCACCACTTGCGAGGACCTGGTGGCGCCCCTTCCGGAGGATGCGCCTTGGGCAGAGGAACTTCGCACTCACTGCAGCTTCATTCCGGTCGGGTGCCTGGTAAGTGCTCGTGCGCCACACGTGATCACCGCGCGGTCCAACGGGCAGGCAGAGATGGATGGGTTGGGGTGCTTGGGGTGGTTGGGCTGGAGAGAGGAGTTGGGTGGGGGGTAGGGGTTTCCTCTTCTGTTTCTTTTTTCGGTACGTTTGTAAAGTCATTTGTTGGGAGGGATCAAAACCAAAAGATGAGGTGCTGGGGGTCAAATTCAGGGCAGTTGTGAAATTCCTGGTGCGGTCAAGAGTGCTGTGTAGGGTGCTCTCTTTCTGGTGCTGTCCAACAGCATACCTGCCCGACCTGGCAGTTGCTGCTCAAATCGCTGGGCCAGACAAGAACCCTGAACCAGAACGACGTCCCTTCCAGAACCGGCCACGGCACAAAAAGAACATGTAGACTTGTGCCTCTTGAGGTACTAACACCGGCCAAGACGGACCAGCTGGTCCTCCAGTCTTCCAGGGTAGTCTTCACGTGGCCGCCAGGTCCTCTCACGTGCCAAGAGCTTTGGACATGGCTTGCCGGCCGCGGAGCTTTCAGCACAGCTTGCGCAAGGCACAACAACTGCAGTTGATTTATGACCGTCACTGAACTATCACAATATCCAATTACATTGTACGAAGGTGATGATGTTAGACCCTATCAAAGCAGGGTCTCCTTATTCACGAGTGGAATGCATAGAGTCATAGAGTTTGTAAACAAGTTGGTGGATTGGAGGCTCTGTTTTCACGGGGCTTATATATATTTATATATATATATATATATTATATTTTAAAATAATGCAACTCATTGGCAATTGGAGTCTCAGCAGGTTGGTAGCAATATGTCGATGAGGTGTCTTGGTGGATGCGATGCCCCCAGTAGAGTCCCGGTGTGTCCCGGTGTGTCCCGGGGCCAACATGAACAGAAGGACATCGGTCCGACATGAGACTCCGGACATCGGTCGCGTGGTCCAAAAGGAGACGGAGCGGTCAGGGTGGTCGCTAGGCTCAGTCCGGAGGTGGGGCTCAGCTGGGAGGGCTCAGGTGACTGGGAGGGTGCCAAGCTCGTGAGGTCACAAGATCGTCTTCGCGGCTTTAGGCACTATGGCACTCTCGGACCGATGGGCCGCCTGGGCTGCGGTTGGAATCGGTGGAAGAGACCAGAGGAAACGAGATCGCACGGTTTAACCGGTTTTGCTTCGAAGGTCGTATGGGGCCTATTTGGGGCGAAGTTGGGTTGTGACCAAGGTCGAAATATGTTGTTTGAGGTGGGATTTGTTTGAAGGAATTGGGAGGTTTTGGTACTACCCACCTTGCAGATCCTTGCAGATCCTTGCGGTGGAGGTCACCTTTTCATACCCCACGACCCGTTGTCACAACTTGTGAAGCATCTTAGATCCTGACCCCCATCCAAAGGTAAACATGCTAAAATGCTGTGTTTGAATACAGCACACGGAGAACACCATAAGTTAAATGTCTTGAAAGAGTGTTGGGATCGGGACTCGTGTACTTCGCAGTAGTTATGGTACAGAAAATTGAGAACTGGACCCTACCCTTTTGTGAGGCCATTGACTTGGGCCGCGCCAGCGGAGGGAACTTGCCGCTGGGCACCACGGGCAAGCAGTATTGCCAGCACGTCTGGAAAGCCTTGTTGGAGGCCATGGAAGAGCTGGGTGAGGACGGGTGGGCGGAGGTCGGTCTACGACGACGTGCACGGGGTGGACGGGTGTGTCGGAAGTGGGGATGCAAAAAAACATGTTTCGGAAAGGGAAAGGAAGATTGGATCACTTGTGAGGACTACTATTGCGTGCTCTCCGCCGGCAAGCAGCCACTTGGACTTCCTTCAAGGATGATTTCATACATCACGAGGAACTTTCATTCAGTTTTTAGTCTTTCTGCTCACCCAGCGGAATCCTTCCCTGTAATACCAGAGCACTGGAGCACCATGTAGCATACTTGGAGAGCTCACTGCCCGCTTCAGCCAATTTGGATGGGTTTTCTGCTCGTCAGACGTCCAAAACAGAGACGTCCAGCACAACTCCAGTGGGGAGAGAGACGTGTCTTCCTTGGGGAGACGACGAACCGCACCAAACCACCGAAGGGCCTGGTCTGAACGCCACCTGAGGCCCGATGCGTTGGACTTCCTGGAGGACGACGACGACGACTACGCCTTGCCGCAGAATGTCATTGTGAGAACCTTCGTGCCGCAGCTTGGCCGCCGGGAAGAAGGGAGGCTGTTCGGAAGAAGAAGAATAAGAAGAAGAAGAAGAAGAAGAAACATAGGAAAAAGAGAGGAAGACGGGAGAGGCCTTTGAAACTGGAGTGGCAACAGGATATTAACTATTATTAAAGCAATGAGGTACAACATGTTACACTGTTACAACACCAACATGACAGCGGAAGGAACGTTGGTCATGCTGTCCTCGTTGATGATCATACATGAGGGTGCCTCCTGCACCCCGGGAGATCCTTGGCAGTCCGTCGGAGTGCGGAAAACAAGAGTGCGGAACTTGGATGGGAGGCAAGTGGAGATGCTGAACCACTACACCAGCGTCTTCCTCTCTCATGTCGGCTTCAACAGCTTGCAGGAGAGCCTCATGGCAGGCGCTCAGAACGAGAGCAAGAACTACTCGTCCCCTTGTTCAGTAATCCCATTAAGGTAATTGGAAAAGGTACGTAGGTGAAGCTTCTTGTAGGTGTGTGGGGTATGGTCCTCTTACTGACTGTGTGTTGGGGTGGTGATGGTGGTTAAAACCGTTTTACTTTTTTTTACCTCACAAGAGACTGATTCAATGTGCACCCCCTCAAGCTGTTCATTCCTCTTGGACTGTCAGGTGTGCCTCTCGTGGCCGTGCCACAAGCGGTGGACCAGCCAGCGAATGCCAGGAAAGTCGAGCTGCTTGGAAAAAGGGAAAGACAAGTCGAGCTGGTTGAATTCCCCTGCCAAGATGCACCAACAGCAAGTGATCTTTCCAACTTCGAAACTCCAACGATCGAGATTCTCCTACCCAGGTGTCCCTGCCGGCATAGACTGTGCAGTTTCGCTAGTGCACAACATCTTCACACAGTACCTGTCTCTTGCAGCCGGTTTTTTCCAGACTGAGGAGCTGCGGCTGGGGCGTCTCGTTCTTCCACCCCATGTCCTCCGTCTCTGGTCCCGCCCTGGCCTCTGCCCTCCGCGCCGTGGGCGGTCAGCAGGGCTTCCACGCCGCGGTGGCGGAGGCCAAGGCAGATCTCCAGGGCGGCGCCGAACGGCTGACGGAGAAGCTCTTGGAGCTCTAAGAAAAGGCCAGACAGAAGCTCTCGTCACGTGGTGAAAAGACGGCTTAACACGATAGTTAGATATAGTTAGTGGGTTTTATTATGTTTATTTGGTAGGTGGACGGGGATGTGGATCGGGGTTTTGGGCGCATGGTGAGTGGATTTGTCTTGGACAGATGGCCTGTGAATCAATGATGTTTTATGTGTGCATAGGATGTGTGTGTGTGTGTATGTGTATATATAATATATATATATACACACATATTTATGTGTGAGTCAAAACCTCCCCCACCGAAGCATGGGAGCTTCACATCCCTTTTACTGGGATCGGCTCATTTGACCCGGGGTGGTCAACTTGTGGGTGCCCAGGTGCGTTTTGACTCACGGCCATCGCCATCAGCTCGGTGACCTTCCGATGCTCGAGCATCGCGGGGATTGAGTGGTCACGAGCTTTCCTGCAAAAGTGGTTTGAATCGTGACCCCCCTCAAGGATAGAATCAGCTAGGAGACCTGAAGACCCTGGAACTTTCTGGTGGGCACTACTGAGTGTACCATGTTGTCTGATGTTGTGAAGCAATATCCACACCACTCCCCTTCCATTTGTTCGAACCTAGGCCCAGGCCTTCCTTGATGCAGAAGTGCCCTTCCTAAAGTCAATGGGTTTGGGATGGGTGCGTTCCTTGGTCACCCCAACATGCCAAGTGCTGAGAGCCTCTCATTGCTCAGCAACTTGGAGGCCGAAGCAGCAATGCACCATGGACATGGGGCATCAAGGTGACCTCTTGTCAGTTTGCGCAGGGACCGGGTGACTGGCTGATGCCCACAATCCCCTGGCCCGGGCGGCTGGGGGAGAACTTTGTTCATCTCTGTTCCACAGGCTTTCCATCTCAGCTCCGCCTCATCCACATCTGTACAGTTCACAGAAATTCGACGGCGATCTCGATGTCTGATGGAAGAAGAGATCCCCATTTGGATCATGTCGGAGCATTGTACAGGCTTTTGCAAGCAATTTAAACTATATTGTGGGCCTGAAGAGCCTCGCAATATTTGTCATTGGTTCGGAATACATGTAAAGATTACCCGAGACAAATATATTATTTTGAATTCGATTAATCTACAATTTGATTATATTCAATTCAATATTGATTTCTATATTTTTTAAGATTTAATAATAATATATTGCATATATATTTATATAATATTAAAATTTAATAAATATTATCTATATAATTTATATATTAATTTAAATGATTAGGAATTGATATTTATTGAATATTCGTAATTTAATAAATATATTCATTGGATGATATATATATGAATTTTGAATTATAGAATTTTTTAAATTAAAAATATATAGATATATTGAATTAATAATATATGTATTATTTATATTTTTTGAATTAATAATCGGTTTTATTGTAAATTAATATATGTTTGAATATTTTTTTAATGGAATATATTATATATAAATATATTATAAATATAAATAATTAATCTTCAAAGGAATTCTTATTGATTATATTTATTTATATTTTTTATATATATATAAATATAATTTAAATATTTATTAACAAAATATATATAATTATTATATATGTAAAATATATTAAATTGAATATATTGATATTTTTAAATATAATATAATATTTAAAACAATATTATTATATAATATATATTAATTGATTATTATATGTTGTTATAATTTTTTGATATAGATTATTTTGTATTTATATTTGATATTTTTTTAGTAAGGAATATATATTATTAATAATATATATATATATAATATATAATTATAAAATATATATTTATTATATTCTCAATAACAATTATTCTTTGAATTAAAGATATTATCGAACATATCTTAAATTAATCAAATTAAATATATATCTAATGATATATTTATTATGAATTTTAAACATAATTCTTTTGATGATTAATTATTATATTATTACATTCTATTTGATTATTTTTATTGAAATAATTGGAAATATATTTTGAATATATTATTTTATACATATTTATTCCTTATAGATTATTAATTTTGAATATGAAGAAAGAATGATTAATTCGTGGATAGAGGATTTCTATATTGGATGATTTAATTGGACGATTATTTTAGAAAAGAATATATATTATAAGATATGGTAATTGAAGATTATAAAATATAGTAATTGATCGAACATCCAATATAAGGAATTTTATATACAATTAAATAATCTTTTAGATATTATTAGAATCATCTACGAAAGATTCATGATGAGATTCGCGAATATATATTTTTATTCCGCGAAAGATTTATCGAAGATGATCATTTTCATTATTTTCCTTTCTACCGGATTGATAAAGAATAGAAATGCAAGGCAATCCTCCAGCATAGCCAATGGGCGGAAATGTCCCTATATATCCCAAAATATCGAATTGAAATCTCAATATTCTCCGCTTCCTGTCCCACTGACACAGACTAGCAATCTGGAGAGGCACGGCCCTAACAGTGAGGCAACGACCTGCAGCTGCTCCAACGGGCTGTGCAGATGATTTTAAATGTTCCCGGGAAAGCTAATGAAATTATGCGAAAATTTCGCGAACGTACCGCTAAAATCTAGGTTGCCAATTTGAGGTCCCTCAATATTTCCCAAGTTGCATCGCCCTGCGTTGTTAGCTGGCACGAAGATTGGGTTGAATTACGTCTGATTCTATTTAGTACAATTGTCGCACACACGCTGCAAATGACCCTAAATAATTGTGGAAATATTCACATATTTATTAGGGATCATGTTAGAAGATATCTCTCCCTATTTTATTCCGGTTCATATTAGTTCGATATAGCTATAAGATTATATTTTGCGATGACGTCGCGAAAACCATATTTTTTTTTTTCCGCGATAAATAATATTCCAAGATAAAAGAATATAAACTAATCACATATAAGAAAAAAAATATCATATGCAAAAATTTCCTTTATACAATAAAAATTATAACATTTCTATTTCAAATATATAAAATCCTAAATTCATCCTTATTAATTATTAAAAAATCAGTAATAAGAATAATAAACGAACATATTATATATTATTTCAATATTATAGAAACATAATATATATTTAATTCATAATTAAATTTAAGATCAAATAAATCAATAGATAATTTATATATTAAATACAAATTTCTTAATTAATAATATTTATATTCTTATTTTATCTAATAACATCCATATCATTAATAATAAATAAAATATTATATATGCTATTATATAATAATTATCAATTAATTTTTATGCGATAATATTACATCATTTATATACGATCTAAAGATAAATATAAAATTCATTTAATATAATCTCTTAAATATTAATTTATAAATTATAAAAATATAAAAATATAGATATCACATTCATTATCGCCGGTTTTGCATGCGACATAACGCAATTCATTTCAATTGGGTATGTGAGCAATGTTTTCTTACATATTCGAAGATTGTAATTAGAATTGAATGTTTTCATTTTTCAATTCAATGATTTGAAGCGGGAAATATTGTATGATCTGTCAATGCGCCTCGGTGCAAATTTGGTGTTTCATTAGATTGATATAGATGTTTAGTTTGTGGATGTTTATGGGGAACAATCTATATAACTAACCATTCCGATCTTTGGAAGATCACTTCAAATTTGATAATTTACGCTAATTGCCACTGCACGTCCGCAAAGGATGACACGCACAAAACGAGAGGTGTACCAAAACGGACACTTGAAACAAACCCAACTGAGACGGTTGGAAGCCGCTTTTGCACAAGCCTGAAAAAGGTCTTCAGGCTGAAACCTTCAGGTTATGAGCCCAAGGTTGAAGGTGTAAGACCCAGCTTGAGGAGGTCGATCGCTGGGCTGCCCTGCGCAAGCGGAAGCCATGGCCATGATGGTTCGCCGACGAAGACGGCAACCTGGCGATGATGGAGAAGGAGAAGAAGCCGATCCGGAAGGCCTCCCACTACATGATCGGCAGCTGGAAGAAGAGCAGCTTGCTCTGGAGGATGGTGAAGATGTTGGGGAAGAGGAGACATTGGAAGGCCCGAAAGGACCGCCTACAACCTTGACACCGATGACCCCACTCTTCACGCCGGAACAGCTGAAGGGACTTCATGAAGTGCAGAGCCAAGCTCCTCACCTATATGCTCAAGTCCCGAGGCAGAGCATCTGGCAGCCTGGTCTGGGGAACAGGTCGCCAGAGGAGGTGCAGAAAGAGAGACCCACGTTCCTGCCGAAAGAAGAAGGTTCAGTGGGAGTGCTTCCACAGACGAGCACGACGACGGGGACACCATCACCGGCACTGGTGGGCGACCATGTACCAGATGACCAGCGACGTGGACGAACAAGAGAACCACGGGTACCTGAAGTACAAGAGCCTGAAAGTGACAGCGATTGGCGACAACCTCCCCAACCTAGAGAGCAATCGGTGGTTCAGATCCAAGGGAACGGGCCTGGAGGAAGAGGTCTACATGTTCCGAGAGGCTTTGGACAAACTGGCCCACCTGGGTACATCATGCCCCATGAAGAGAGGAGGGGACCTATGCCGCATCAAGGAGGATGGCAAGTTCAGCTGCATCCCTATGGCCCTGGTCCGCCGAATCCACAGGAGATGATGACCATGTTGGCGATGTTGAAACAGGAGAATCAACAACTGCAGATTCAGCAGGCAGAGCTCATGGACGCCATGAAGTACCAGAGGGCAAGCCTGGAAGCCAAAGTCCATGATCTACAACGTGAGCTGGAGCAGCAGGCTTTCAGAACGCCAGAAAGCAATGAGCCTGTGAATCGTCAGCTGGAATTGACGGTCGACGAACCTCCGAGAGAGACAGATTTGGAGGTGGAAAGACGCCGGCTGTATGAGTTGACTCCCATGCAACAGTTCGAGCAGCTCCAATCCTTGATGGGGACGGTCACTCCGGCGCCAGCAAAGCGAGGTGGTCGGGGGCAAGGACAGCGAGAGAGGTCGAGATCTCAAGGTCCGAGAACTGCACGTCAGGGAGGAGGTCAACCTGAGGGCTTGGTGGCATCTCGGGCGAAGGGCTTCGAACCGGAAGGGAGACAAGGGACCGGGAAAGGTGTGGGTCAGCCAAAGAAGAAAGCCACAGCCGAGCAGCCTGGTCGATCTTCAACTGCAAATGTTCGGGAGGAACCATCGAGAGAGCGCGGTGGTGGCATGGCTGATGCGATGTCTATGCTGATCACCTACCTGGTCGACAAGGACAAGAAGCAAGAAGGACCGGAGTCGGTCAAGCCGGGGACGGCCACACTCCCAGTCCTGGCAGAGCCATCCGATACGGCTCCCATCGACCTTGCTGACTGGCTCACTATGGTGGAACCGGCCATGACAGATCTGAGCGACTCGTCAGGCGAGTGGTGGGAGTTGGTGGTGAGCGAAGCAAGGGCCTGGTACAAGCAGTACATCAAGCTTCGTCCAATTCAGCGGGCATCATCCAAGATCGAGCCGTCTGCTGAGTTGCAAAAGCCGAAGTGGGCTCGAGTGGAGAAGAGGGCCATCAGCATGCTGCTTTCTTCAGTTCCCACGACAGTGAAGGAGGAACTGGTAGCGACGAGGACTTTGTCACCGCTGGGGCTGGTGAGCAAACTCATGGTCCTCTATCAACCAGGTGGTGCTCATGAGCGCACCATCATCCTGCGGCAACTTGAAGATCCGCCAGAAGCAGGGTCGCCAAGCGAAGCCTGCATGGGGCTCCGACGCTGGATGCGCTGGCTTAGGAGGGCCACCGACATTGGCCTGAATCTTCCTGATGCGATCATCCTCATGAAGGGCATCAACAAACTTAGCAAGCGGATCCTCACTCAACAACCGGATCTGCAATTCAGATGTGCCTTGGTCAAAAACACCTTGCAGCTTGATACCATCCCCAATGAGGAGACTGTTCGGACGTATGCTGAGCATTTGCTCGCTGAACTTGAACAACTCATGCACCGGGTCCGACCGTCTTCGAGCACCACGAGGCCTGGAAATCAGGGAGGTGGACCATTGGCAGTAAAGGCACTTCAAGGGGAAGATCGAGAGAAGAAGGGGGACTCGCCAACGACATCGGCGAAGGGTCCTTGTCGATATTTCCTCATGGAGTCTGGATGTCGAAGAGGGCAGTCGTGCAAATGGGCACATCAACTGGAGACTGGCGACAAGCAGAACCAGGAGAGGAGGTGCTTCACGTGCGGGGCCACACAACACCTGGCTCGAGACTGTCCGAGGAAGGAGACGGCAAAGAAGGGAGAAGGACCTCCGTCTGGCCAGAAACCGAAGCTTCAGAAGCTGCTGGGCAAAACCGGTGGTGGTGGAAATGGGACCTCGCGGAGTGAGTCGGGGGCTTCAATTTCTCCTCAAGCAGCATCCTCGCAGTCGGTGACCTCGGAGGCGATATCGGATGCAGCGACAAGAACTGCAGACCCAATCAAGAATGTGCTTGATGAGGCGCACAAGTTGCTCAAGGGCATGAACCTCGAAGAAGAAGGGCAAGATCGTGCAACGGACCTTGGTGCGACGTTGAAGAAGCTGAATCGAGCATGGGAGAAAGGTGGCCCAGAGCTACGGGCAGTCAAGATAGCTCGAGTCCAACAAGGTCGAGAAGGACTTCTGGATTCTGGGGCAACGCACGCTCTGAGGCCCAAGCTCCGAGGAGAAGATCTTCAGAGATATCGCCAGGTGAGGGTGACGTTGGCTGCTGGAGGAGCACAAGACATCCGAATGACAGAAGGGGAGACGCTGGTCCACAACAGTGAGAATGTGGAGCCGATTGTACCGGCGGGAAGGCTGGTTCGCGATTTGGGATGTCGAATCGAATGGATGGGGGAAGCGTGCACCTTGGAGCATCCGGTCAAGGGCAACATTGACCTTAGGGTTGAAGCTGGATGCCCTCAAATGGACCATGACGTTGCGTTGGACCTCATCAGGGAGCTGGAGGAATCTCGGTCGAGAACGGCGTTGAGGTGCTACCGATTTGGGGAGACTCACAATGACGTCGACTGGCTGGACCGGGTGGTGGCAGATTGTCCGATCTTCGACAAGGTCCCGATCCGAATCAAGGATCGCCTGGTGGACTCTCCAGCAAGGAATCTTGAGGTCCTTGGAGTCAATCGACGCATCCGCAAGCGCTGGAGAAATGAGGGTGTGGTGGTTCATCTCTACGCTGGGAAGAATGAGGGCTACGATCTCACAAGGGCTCTCAAGGAGGCTGGCGGAGACACTACGAGGTTGTTGGAGGTGGATATCCTTCGAAGCCAAAGTCATGACATGTCCAAGGATGATGCGATGTACGCAGCACTGCTACGGATCGCTATGCTGGGCTGGATCGATGCGGTGATTGGTGGACCCAACTGCAGAACCCGCAGTGAACTACGACATCATCCAGTCACGGGACTACCAGGGCCATCGAGATCGTTGGGAAGACCCTGGGGCTTGGACGAGTTGGATGAAGTGGAGAGGGCAAAGTGCCATTTGGACGATGTGCTGCTGTTGCGTATGGTGACGCTCTATGTGGTGGCAAAGCTGGGTCGAGATGCACGATTGTCCCAGGAGAAGAATTCCGCGTTGCTGCCGACGGTCAGGTTCTTGATGGAGCAGCCTGCAGCGCCTCAGCACATGCCGGAAGTGGCATCCTTCTGGAGAACCGAAGAGTGGAGGGTAATGAAAGAGCATCTCAACTTGGACATGGTGACCTTCAACCAGGGTGCCTATGGTGGTATGGCGGTGAAACCTACCTCACTGGCATTGAACATGGAGTTCATGGTTCCCGAGGATCGGGGCCCGCCCAAGGCCTTCCTGAAGACCAAGCATGAGGTGTCGAGCTCCGAGCTGGCGAGATGGGCTCCAGGAATGATGCGAGAGATCGCAAGAAGCATCACAGTCAACATCCAGAAGAGGCGGGTGACGATGAAGGCCTTGTCTTGGCAGGAACACCTGGCCCAGGGGCATGTGCCGTTCCGCAGAGACTGCGCTGTCTGTCAGAGAGCAGCGGCAAGGGATCGACCACATCGAGCTCAAGGGATAGCGGCTCCGTGCGTGCTGTCGCTGGATCTGACAGGACCATTTGTGCTCGGCCATGACATTGACGGCGACCTCAAGAAGTACCTCCTGGTTGGAGCATACACGTGGCCGGTCATGGAGGAGGCACCATGGGACGAGGTCGAACTGCTCGAGGTGATCCCAGACAAGGACAGGCCTACACTCGAGGAAGAGGAGGCTCTTCGGGAGGTGGAGTATGACCTGGCTCAAGATCTGGAAGCTCATGGTGAGGAGATGTCCTACAGACCTACGTCAGATGAGGGCGAAGATCTGGAGATGGGTGAGCCGGAGGAGGACGAAGGGCAGGGCGGAGGAGGCGGTGACCAGTTAGAGCCGCTACCTGATCCAGGACCCTGTGAACCCGAACCACCATCGGTGCCGCTCCCAAAGACTCCGGAGGAAGTCGAAGAGCACCAGAAGGCCTACGAGATGATCACGATGTCTATCTGCCTACCACTGGCCTCGAAGAGCGCAGCGGAAGTCCTTGCTGGAACACAAGAACTGTTTGGGATGCTGAGACGCCATGGCTACCCTGTGGCTAGGATTCACACTGATGCTGGCAGGGAGTTTGACAACAACCCGTTCAAGAGGTGGTGCTTGGAGAGGGGGCTGGCAAGAACCTTCAGTCCTCCAGATGAACACCAATCCAACGGTCGTGCGGAGGCCATGATCGCGTCGATCAAACAAAGGGTCCGTCGACTTCTACATGCTTCGGGCATGCCCACGAAGTGGTGGCCGGCAGCGGCGAGACATGTCACGGAGCTGGAAAGAAGGAGAAGGGAGAACATCAAGGAGACGCTTCCACGCTTTGGACAGCTCATCACGGTGAGAAAGCGAGCTTGGGAGCGAGGAGGACCTTTTGAAGCGACATCCGAGATGGTGACCTACCTGACCCCTACACCGCAAGTGTCCAAAGGGCACGCGGTTCTCACGGACAAGGAGAAGGTCAAGGTAGTGAGCTACTTGATAAAGGATGTCAAAGAGCCTAAGCCTGATGAACGAGACTTGGTCATGGAGGAGGTCCATATCCAAGACGACCCTGTACGGCTTCGCCGGAGGTTGAGAGAGAAGACACCACTGGCATGCATACGGGGAGAAGAAGACCTACAGAGGGAGGAGGATCGTCGAATGCTCTTTCAGGCCGTCTATGAGGAGGAGGGTCACTTGTTGGGAGCTGCTCCAAGAGAAGTTCCTCCGTTGAGCCGAGGTTTGGTTGCTCTACGACAAGAACAGGTGGCATCAACCCAACGACTCTTGGAAGACGAGATTCTCCAAACACGGATCGTACCAAACGATGAGGTATACAAAGACCGGAACCTTTGGCTGGAAGCCATTATGAAAGAGATCCAGTCCTTGGAGGGCAAGAAAGCGATCCGGAGATTGACTCCCGCAGAAGTGGCCTATTACCAGAGAGAGCATGGAGACAAGGTGGAGGTGGTTCCAGGGAAGGCCATCCATGCGGTGAAGGCCCCTGACGGACGAAGGAAATGCCGCCTGGTGGTGTGCGGGAACTACCTGAAGGGAGCTGGAAGAGGTCCTGGAGACCGTTCGGAAGCAGCTCAGCTCTATGCAGGTGGGGCGGACACTACATGCTTGAGGACCTCATTGGCACTGGCCGCTTCGCGAGGCTGGCAGGCGGCTAGCCTGGACATCAAGACCGCCTTCTTGAACGCACCTCTACGAACACTTCAGGAGAGCAGCCGAAAAAAGAACCTCGCCTTGGAAGATGCTCATGGACGACTTCAAGAGGATCAAGAAGAAGATGGAGGAGGTCACGAAGGTCAAGAAGGGGTAACCACGGAAGAGCAGCAGGAGGAGGACCTCACGAAAAGGAAACGCCTGGTGCTCATGCTCCCCCCAAAGATCCTCGTTCGACTGGGATTGGTCAAGGAGGGGGAAATGTGGCTGGTGGAAAAGGCTCTGTATGGCCTACGTGAGTCTCCAAAGCTTTGGGGGGACTACAGGGACATCGAGATCAGCCAGATGTCCTTTCAGGCGAACTCCGTCACCTATGAGTACCAACAGAGCTTCGCGGAGGAGAACTTGTGGTTGGTGCGACGGAAAGATGCCGGAGATGGAGACCAGGTAGAGGGACTCGCCTTGGTGTACGTGGATGATGTGATGCTCTTCGGCACCGAAGAGATTGTGAGGGCAGGGCTCCAGAGCTTTCGAAGGACCTGGGAGACGTCCGAACCTACGTGGGTGGGAGATCGTGAACCAGTTCGGTACTGTGGAATGGAGTTGAGCCGAACTGAACAAGGAGACTTCTTTGCCAATCAATGTTCCTACTTGAGGGAAGTGGTTCGGCGACATGGCATGGAGGACCTTTGCAGCGCTCAGATGATGAAGGAATCCCAGGAACCCGAGGATGAGCTGGATCGCACGCCCTTGCAGATCCGAGAGGCACAACAACTCGGAGGAGAACTTTTGTGGCTGGCAACGAAGACGAGGCCGGACATTGCCTACACGGTCAGCCGAATCTGCTCAGCGACGAGCCGGGCTCCGAAATGGGCGGTCCAAACCGCATACCAGCTGATCAGGCACTTGAATGCCACGCAGGGCCTGGGCTTGTGGTACCGAAGAGACGCCAACTTCATCCTGGAGTCAGTGAGTGATGCCTCCTTCGCTCCAGGAGGTGCTCATAGCCATGGCTGTGTGATCACGACGGTGGCCGGAGCACCGGTGGCATGGAAGAGCTGCAAGCAGCCGTTCCCCGCCCTTTCAACTGCGGAAGCCGAACTCATAGAGGTCATCGAAGCTGTAGTTGTGGGGGACAGCATCGCATGTCTGGTTGATGAGATGGCGAAGGACGTCCCGAAGTTCCTCAAGTGCGACAACACAGCTGCAGTCTCAATAGCAAGTTGTGCAACTGGAGCGTGGCGTACAAGACACTTGAAGGTCCGGGCCGCCCACCTCAAATGGAGGATCCAGTCTGGTCAATGGGAGCTGAAGTACCAGCCTGGAAGAGAGCTCATCGCGGACATCGGCACAAAGGCGTTGCCAGTGGCTCGGATTAATGAGCTGAGACAGCGGATGGGGATGTCATGGCAGCCTGACTCAGTTGACGAGGTGCATGAGGAGGACAAGGGCATTGTCGCACCTCGTGCCATGAAATTGGTCGCGAAGTACCACTTGGAAAAGGCCATGAGGCTTGTCGTGGTGCTGTCGGCCCTCAAAGAAGTGCATGGAGCTATGGCGGAGAATGTCACCAAGAACGTTGATGAGAATGTGGAGGGTGACCAGATCTTGTACCTCCTCAGCGTCATGATGATGTTGCTGGGAATGGTGCTCATGAAGGTCATTCAAAAATGCCGCTTGCATTGGAACCGGGTGGAGGACGATCCGGCGACGCGTAGAGTGAGGGTCTCTCGTTTGGCTGGTCAATCTTCTTCCGGGACAAGGACTTCTACCAGACCTCAAGGAGGAGGAGATCGAGAACCACGTCAACGTGATGGAGAATGGCAGCAAGTGAACCATGGAGGGCAGAGTGCTTCATCATCACCAAGAGGTACCAGGATGAGTGGAGGCATTGAAGATGGACATCAAGGGAGACCGGATCCCGCGCTGAATGAGCCACAGGAGGAACCGCCGAATCAAGCTGACCTACCTGGAGGGCATCATCTGCAGATCACCCTGACTGGGAGGAGGAGGCGATTCCCCAATGAGCCAACGTGGAAGATCTGGTTCGCGGAGTCCAGCAAGTGCTTCCATAGACAGCGGAGCTGCAGGGGATTGAGCAAGGCCAACCGAGTTCATGAACAGCCGGTGTGTGGAGCCTGTCAAAGGGCCACCAGAGGCCAGAGAAGTCTTCGAGAGACGAACTTCATCTATGAGGACCAGCTCGGCAACTTCCACACCGATGCTCGGTGCAATGCGGTCACGGGACCGATGACTGAGATCCGACAGTGCAAAGTCTGCGGATCCTGAGGCGGCTTGAGCCTAGAGCTCGCTTTTTGGAGGTTGGTCTACTGCCAAAAAGGGCAGAGACCAAGGAGGAGTGCACGTCCGCAAAGGATGACACGCACAAAACGAGAGGTGTACCAAAACGGACACTTGAAACAAACCCAACTGAGACGGTTGGAAGCCGCTTTTGCACAAGCCTGAAAAAGGTCTTCAGGCTGAAACCTTCAGCCACAATAGCTGACCATTGGTCTGCCCAAGTGCTACGCCATCCACAACTGTGCTAGGGAAATCTGACTCGAGTGGCAAGTCTTGGGAGGAATCTTCAACAAGACCATACCATCCTGGTTTCGTGATTGCCAAGGATGCATTTTGTCTGTGCCTCCTACAGGATCCACCCTCAGAAAGAGTCTGCAATTCCATCACACCGGACTTGCCATCCGGATCAATTATGGATAGAGGAGTCCACCCAATTCCACCAAACCATATACAGATCCATACAGACCCATATGGCCATGTTTTCTCATTCATTCATCCCAGATCCTCGAGTTCGACCCAGTTCCATCCCAAATCTTTTTCCAAGCTGCGGCTCCTCATCTTGGCGATCGCCGCTGCTGGGGTCTGGCTTTGCCAGGCCCTGAGCGAATCGCTACGAGGTGACAGTTTTTCAGGGTGACGCCGTCTACTCCTTCGTGTCAAAGGGAATGGACTCCTGGACCCCGAACTCCGATTCTTCCATTTGGAGACCTACCTTAGGACCGACCGACATGCTAAGATCAGAACCAAAAAAGGGTTCTTTTTCAACGACTGCATCCTCTTCAGACATGAAGTAGCGGCGACCGAAATCGAAGCACGTCTCTCTCTCTCTCTCTGTGGAAACAAGTCGACCGAACGGGTCAAGGTTCAAATCCCCAATTCCAACTCAACGTGATCGCAATTCCCAAGGTTGTGAGGGTTTGCATGGATGCCTATCTGAAAGGATGAAGACCTGTGATATGTGAACCTTCTGGCAAACAGGGACAAAACCCAAAACAGTTCCCTGAAATCCTGGAATCACTGCCATGGAAAAAAACACAGCTCCACGGGTTTCCTCCCACCACGCGCGGTTTCCGGTGTATTTTCCACATGGCTTCCTCCACCGTTTCCTCCATTTCCACCTTCCCGCCTGACGGCAGATGACATGGTGGGAGACCATGCGAGCTTCGGCTTCCTAAGCGCCGGTGCCGCAGTCGAGTGCGGGAGAAAACACGATGATCTCATGCTTTTTTTGGAAGAGTACCTCCCCAAGGATGTCCTAAAGCTAGATCAAGGGATGCCCTATGCAAATTGACCCCTGTCTTCCAAGTACGAGTAACCACAGTAACATGCGACCCGAGTATTGTGCACCCCTTTCACCCAGAAACGATGAGGCCTGCCTCATCTCGGTCTTGTGGTCGCCACGTGTCGTGCATCATGCGCCATGTATTGTGTATCGCTGAGGTTCGGCGCATCGCGCAGATTCGGTGTCTCTTTTTGGTTCTTTTTGTTTGGTCGAGCCATGCCAGGTTCTTAGAACTTGGCAACAATCCTAACAACGAACGACATTCATCCTCCAAGGTCAGGAGGACTTGCGGACGAGCCATGTGGCTTAGTTTTTGGACCCGGAGAAACTGACTTCCTTAAAAAGGAGAGATAGCACTTCCTTAAGCAAGACTATGAACTCCAAACTCTGGTGAATCAAAGAAGGGTCTGAGACGAAGATTTAATGCAGGTATTCTTCATGATTCTTGACATGAAGTGAGGAAGGCTCAAAACTCTCTAACGTTGCGAGGTCAGCATGGGAAGCATCAGTTCTGCTCACTTGGGTAGCATCAGAAGGCCGCTGAAATGGTGTTGGTGCTGTGTGGGTTGGTGTGAAAAAAGCGGCTCTCCTAAAGCTGCCATCCGGAGACTTAAGCAATCCTAAGCATGCCCAGGTTTGGGCTGAAAGTTTTCTCAGTGGACCACATGGTGGACCACGTGGTGGTGGTAGCTGGCACCTGAGGACCAGCTGTGGCTACCACCGGAGGACCAGCTGTGGCCGGACATGGCCCCAGCAGCTCCGGCAGCCGCCCCAGCAGCCCCGGCTCCGGCGACGAAGTGATGAGTGACGACCACGTGGGTGTGTCCGTGCGCGCCAGGGCCATGGTAGACATAGCCCGGGCAGCCCAGTTGCTCATGGGAGCAGCACCAGGACTTCTTGGCGCCTGACGGGCCAAAACACCAACAAAAACGCAGCACATACTTATGTAGATTGCAGAAAGGATGCAAGAAATCACCACATGCATATTGGCCCCTTCGAGGACATGCATACCCATACCCTTTTGAGGGTTTATGTTGGGTTGGACCTTCATCTGCACAAGGATTTAAAGTCGTGCAAATTACTCACATCGTACACCTCAAGAGTCTCAAGAGTACAAACAAAACCGCTGATCTCCCCATCGTCTTCGCGTCCGTCTCCACCACCAACCGTCTCAGCCGGCGAGACCGACGAAACCGCTCCACCTGACCAACCGTGCTCCCAGCCAGCGAGACCGGCATGGCAGGCATAAGGCTGGGCCACTGAGCTAGCAGCACCTGCCATCTGAGCCTCCCAGGACCAGTGGCCGCTGATCATCACCTGATCAGCAGGATGGGACAACCCGACCAGCCGGCTTCATGAAATCCAAAGATATTGGGAGTGTAATTTCTGTCGCAGTTCCCGGGAAGGGATGTTTGACTATGGATGAAATCTGCTTCGGAGGCACGCGAAACGTGCGGTGCGAAGACTCAAGTAGTAGCACTTTCGGAGGGTATGCTTCGGTGGTATGCTTCGCCTAAGTCGAAAATCTCAACTCTACATATACTGGACACGTCAACAAAAATAACCCATATGGCCCATATGTTGCATTGCTACAAGGATCCAAATGAGGTAAGAGGTCATCTCCACATTTCCCCAACCACCTGCTGGCTTTTGCCCTTTTGTGCAAGAAATGTCAAGAAACCAATGCTTCTTCCAAGAATTTTCACCAAATCAGCCCAAAAATTGCCAAACTCACCAGAAAGAAACACCACATCGTGTTCACATCATCCATGTCTGGCAAAAAATTCCCAAGAAGGACAGTCGGACAGTCCATCGTTCCCTTCCCATCCCTTTCGTTCCGTTCCCGTCCTCCGAGTCTCCGAGCCTTCTTCCAGACCTTGCCGGCACCAGCGTCACCTTGGACTAGCTCTAGCTGTCGGATGACCCTGATTGGGTTCATCACGCAAACAGTTTGGTCAGGGGTCAAAACAGGTCAATGGCCAAGCCCCCCCCAGACCTAGTTGGTTCCCTCTTCTGTTTCCTTTAGCTATCTGAGCTGGTCCAGTGAGCCTGGCGTGGCCTTCTTTTTTGACTGAAGAGCCTCTTCAGGGCCGATTCGGGGCGATCCACACAGGATCTGGGCGTGGGCGATCACTGTCCAAGGCATCCTAGGCTCAAAGAGCAGTCTTGCTGGTCAGTTTCGCTTTTGAACTGTCTTATGAGGATGGGCATCTATGGGCTAACATCTACCAATGGGCATGTTTTTCGCCAGCACGCGTGTGAACAACAACAATACGATCCAATACGGTGATGTCCAAAAATGACGTTTCGCAGCACCTGATGTCCTTCCATCCCGTGTGCCAAGTGACAGTTGGGCGGAGTGTCTGGGGACTGGCAGCCCTTCCTTAGCTCAAAAAAGTCTGGTTGCCAGGAGGAATGATTTTGCCAGTGCAAAATCTGAAGGAAAACCACCAAAAGATGCAGAGCCTGAGGACGCCCCCAAAAAGACTCCATGGGTCGGCTACGAGGTCTCTTCCTTCCTTTCGTGAAATGCAACCCGACGGGTCTCTCTACTCACATGCTGTCAGGCCGCTGCTGGTTGTTGCAGCACCAGACCTTCTTGGAAGGAGACCAGGCACGGCACCAGTTGCCAAGTGCAGCGTTGCAATCGAAGGCCTCCTTGCCTGGGCCTTGCACTCCACAGCCTGCCGCCTTGCGCACGGGGTCAAATGCCATGACTGGGGGTTTACCCTCCCAAAGACGGGGCATTGTTGGATGATGTTGGATGGCTTGCATGATACACATGTCACATGTCAGTCTTTGCTCTCGGAATCTTTTTGAATGCTTGTTTCACAATCACACTGAACGAGCGACGACGGGAGAGTGGAAGCGGCACAACAGTGTTCAACAGAACTGTTAGAGGGGGAGACATGCCCAACATAGTAGCGAAAGCTTTGTAAAGCAACTCGGAACCTCTAGCTGCCGCTTCTCATCTGCCTCTTTAGACCTTTGGTAGGAAGACTTGGTTCCTTTTCACGAAAGAAACCCACCAGGAAGAAGACTGATAACGAACTCTCTCCAGCGATCTACCTCTTGGCTTCACACCCGTCTACTGTCCTCCACACGTCTCCGCTCCGCTCCGCTGGGTCTCGACGTCGAGGACGAGACGTCGCAACCGCGGCCTGAACGGTGCATGCGCGGCACACATCGCACTCCACCTGCACCTTGCTGTACGCGAGGTTGCCTCCAAACCGCAGCGCAGCAGGGAGGACGACCGGCATAACAGGGACCAACTGCCGCATGGTGGGGGGGAGGTGGAGGTTTTTGGACTGACATGGATCGTGGCGCAGCTAGGCGAAACTAGGCGATACTAGGCGCAACTCCTATCAACTCATGGAGTGACTCCAAATCGATCGAAAACCGCCTGAATGCCCTCAATAGAAGAGGTGCGGACATGGTTCCAGCTTCAGGACCTACATCTGTGTTACGACCATCTCTGCTCCGTCAGCTTTTTCTGGTGGATTTGAGCTCTGAGGAATCAGCTGGAATCGGATTGAATCGGTATTTTTGTGGTAACTGAGATTCACTGACCCAAACACTCCATATGTGGTATATTTACCTACATTGGGGTGGTTTTGGGGGTCAATGTAGGCATATATGGCAGTCCCATGGAGCGTCTGGGTTAGGAAACACTTATGACTTCAACCGATAGGAGCAAAGCATCGTGAACCCCTTCTGCCCAGTGGCAAGCATTGTCCTTGCCAGAGAAGACATTCTGCTTGGACCAATCGATGCGCTGCTGGCAGGTGCTAGTCTCACCGTGCAAGGTGCACTGCGTGGCGCAGCCCAAGGGAGACAAGGTGGTGTGAGGGCATCCCAACTGGAAACTTTTGCAGCAGAAGTCGCGCTGGTCGGCGGACCAGGCCTAGGTCTTCTGACACACAGCAAAAGTTCCACATATTAACTGCTGGTGGCACTGGTGGGGAGGTTTCCTGGGAAGATCCCGCACATTCTCTGCACAACAAAAGCATACAAAAGCTTAACCCAAATCCTACAAATACATTCTTGACGCTTTTCTCACACTTGAAGGTAGACTCTCCCTTTTGCAATCATTTGCAATGCCATCCCTCGGTTTGCTATGTACCACCTTCGGATAGGACAGTGGATGTGATGTTGATTGCTACAGCAACTGGGAATCAGCCACCCCAAATTCAGTGAACATCAGCCACTTGCGCGCCTGACCTGTGCGTCGGGTGTTTTGGGATTCGTTTTGCTCTGTCGCTTCTCTCGCTTCTCATAGAATCCGATCTCTTGAACTCTCACCCTTCGCGTATGAAAAGACATTGTTGACATGCCATCTTGCAACTGATGTGGACATCGAACTGATCGGGGGGAAGATCGAACACACATGCCTCTTGATCTCTTGAACCGTTCGCACGTTCGGCCGAACGTCTCTTCGGGTGTTCGCACATCCGAAGAGAAGCGGAAACACGTGTCTTGTCTTAGTCTTGTCACACTGTATCGTTCTCTGTATGTCTTTGGGAAAGAGGAGCAAAGGAGGAGCCCGTCGGGGAAACCGACTGTACATCCAAATGGCCGCCATGTTGGCGTCTCCATGGCAATGGAACTTCACGCAGTACTGAGAGTGACCATTGCTGCAGCACCAGTCCTTCTTCTTGGAGGACCATCCTTGGACACGACGTTTCAAGGCGACTCACGATGTTTCGAGATTGGTCAAGGTAGACTGCTCTAGACTGCAAAAGCCCGATGAACTCCTGTAAAGGGAAATGAGGTGTCCAAGCCAATTGAGCACATGTGAGGTAAAAACCGATTAAAACAAATTACTCCAACTGTGAGGGTCGTGCGCGATCGTGCAGGTAGGAGGACGATGTGGAAGGGATTTCCGACCG